TTTTTTTTGTAATGGATTCTCCTTTTGCTTTACAAACTCAACATCCCCTTAAAATGCAGCAAAAGAGCAGGGGCCCCACAGAGTCCTGTGGTTTCAGCAGCCTCCAAATGAGCTGCACAGGTCTGAGGGTTCACTGCCTGCTTTGAACTGGAGCCTGAAGCTGACTGCCCTCCCACTCTTGTCAGTGGTTTAGGAATGCGCTTCCTGCAGAATGCAGCACATAGGATTGGGGTGATGCTTCCAACTCACTGTGTGGATGCACAGTTGTGTCACTGCCCAGCAGTGCTCCCAGGCACTGGGCCCAGCATGCTTTTATTTAGGTGAACACTGTCTGTCTTCGGGTTCTGGCCAAAGCTGGGCCAGGAAGTGGTGTCTGGAGCAGGAAATAGTGTCAGGACGCCACCAACAAGAGGTGTGGGCATATGGACAGCCAAGGAGTCGGTGAGGAGCCTCCAGCAATCAGCATGTGTGCAAGGCAGCTGGGCATACCTTCATGGACACTGTTGGCAGCTTTTGACACGTGGCCTTTTCTCTGGCTCCTCCGGCTCCAAGAGATGCACTGCAGGAGGGCAGGCATCCTCCACCTTTCCCTCTCTTTCCCCTCCTCTGGATAAAGCACAGAAGCATTCAGAACATCAGAGGCACTGCTCCCCCAGCTCCCACCAGCCTAACTCCCACCAGCCCAACTCCAACAGCTAAACCCACCACCCTGGGAAAGCATGGAACAGCTCCTGCAAACCCTCATAGTGACCTGAAAGCTCCCCATTGCCCTGGAAGTTCATCTAAAGGACAACAGAGGTAGCAGCAAGTTATTGCAAACTTTCATGCTGCTATAGCAAAACACTGCAGCAGCTTATTTTATAGCCTGCAATGGCTCAGCATCCCCATCCAAATGCCACTTGGCCTTTCACCTCCTAGGAGATCTTGTCTCCCAGTGGCAAATGATAAACCACTTTAGTGTCCTTCGTCTTATTGCAACACCAAGGGCTCACAGTAGCAGCGTTTCCTGCTGTCTGACAGCCCCAGACTTCCAGCCACCAACACATCCCCTGATTGCAGTCCTTGGGGACACAGCGGGGAGCAGCCTGGCACAAATCCTTTGCAAAGGCCAGAAGGGAAACATGACAAGCTCAGCCCCAGCTAAGGGTTGTTTTTTGGTAACATTCCTCAAACCTGCTTTGCAAGCTGCTCCAAACCCCAGGCCCATCTCGCACGCATTCCTCCTGCACGTTCCACTAAAAATCTTATTCTCCTTGGGAAGAGCCATGGGATGAAGGAGCCTGGGCTCCAGAGAAGCTCATGCTGTCCTATGGGCTGGCACTGCCAGAGAGATCCCCAGCTCTTAGGTGGGCACAGAAGGGTCACATAGGCATTTTGGAGCACACGGCTCACAGGGGCATGGAAAGAAGCTGATCTTGCATCAGGTTGAACCCTGAAGCTGAGGAGCATCCTCATTACCAATACAGTTCATGGGATGCTTCTATGACTCAGAGCACCAGCAGAGTCCTGGTGAGCAATGCTGAGTCCTCCTACCCACAGTGCTTGTAAAGCCAGTAGGCTGCCTGCACAGCACCGCTCTGGCTTTCTGCTCCTCTTTCTCCACTGCACTCCACATCCACACCGGCGTGAAAGACAAATCCACAGATAATCCCAAAGATTCATGCACTGAGGCAAATGCCAGCAAATCACAAAGGTGGGAGAAAAAAAAGTGTGCACTCAGGGATGCTTCCCTGCTCCTGCAGCTGCTGTGCCCAGAACTGGCGGACACTACCAGAAGAAATTCTTGCAGGAATTATGTGAGGAAAGCGAAAGGCTGCAGGAAGGAAGCTGGAAAGAAGAACATGCATGCATTGGCACAAAGAGTGGGTAGAATGCAGCCTCATACCCTTGCAGGAAAATGCAATGGGTCCTGGTGGTCTCAAAGCCCTTGAAGGCTCAGATCCAAGATTCTGGATTGAGCCAATGGGAAGAAGCACCTGATTCTTGGGGCTGTATCCTGTGCTTGCAGGTAAACACCACTCACCCTTCTCTGTGCATCAAACGCTGTTCCTCAGGCTCTCACCCTGCCATCCTTATGCTGCTCACCTAGCTGCCAACAGCTTGTGGTTTTAGAACCAAGTGCTCACTTGTTATTGTTCTGACTTGCGTGAAGCCAATGCCAGCATCTTCCTCCTGCAGAACCGGCCTGCCCTCTGCAGCCAGGGCTGCACCCCAAGCCCCAGAATGCCCATCCATCAGCACCTGAATGTGCATCCTAAGCACCACGCCACAGCCGTTGCCTGCCACATCCCTGCTTCCCAACCCACGGCCCATCCTCCCCAGGAGGAGACCCACGGGGAAGGGGCAGAGCCTATTGGGAAGGCTCAGATTCCACTGCATGAAAAGGATCCCACTGGGGACAGCAGGAAGTCCCTGGGGAGGGGCAGATCTCCCTGGCAAATCCTGCAGAAGTGAGGTAGCGGGCCGAATCAGGGAGATCAATGCGTGCCCCACTCGTGCCACCCTCCATCCCTCCCCCGTCCGATTTCCCCAAACCCTCGGTACCTGCGGGGTGCTGCAGGGCGGCCCGCAGAGCTCGGCAGGCGGCGGTGCGGCATTCCCGCAGCGCTGCGGGACTCCCGGGGCTGTAACGCGCCGCCTGCACGGTGCCCGCCGCCGGGAAGTGCCGCCGCAGCGTCGCGTCCAGCACCGCCGCGTCCTCCCCGTCCCCACCGGGCAGAAGAACGCCGACGACGGCGGGCGGCGGCCCCCGAGGCAAACGGCCCCGCACGTCCCGCACCACCTCCCGCAGCCGCGCACGGCTCCCGCGGCCCCGCGCCGTTCCTCCGCGGCACAGCACCAGCAGCAGCCGGGCCCCCAGCTCCCGCCGCCGGCATCGGGACCGGGACGGGCATCCCGGCTCCACCCCCTGCCCCGGAGGAGCCTCGTCGCCCAGCAGCTCCCGGGCGAACGACGCCAACGTGGCCGCCGCCGGAGCGCCGTCCGCCACCACCTCGGCCACCAGCAGCACCGCCCGCCGCCCGCCCGCCCGCTCCACCAACGCCCGCAGCTCCCGCAGCTCCGCCGCCTCCATCCCCCGCTGCCGCCGCCGCCGCGTTCCCTGAGCGGAGCTCCGCACCGCCCCCGGCACCGCCCCCACCGGCCCCGGTTCCCGCCCCGAGCCCAGAGCATCTCCCGGTTCCGGTACCGGTGGACACGGGCTTTGCCCGGCCCTGGCACGGCTATCAGGTGAAGAGGGAAGTCCCAGCAGCAATGGTAAACGTTTACTCTGCTACGCACGACATTCCCCATACATTTAATGTCTTGTTGCAAGAATAAGGGAGGATGTGAACAGCTGAAAGGTGCCGACAGCAGCACTGCCCTTGCAGACATCCTCTAGGGGACAACATAGACGTACTGGAGTTGAAAGGGTCTCTTAAAGGCCATCTGGTCCAACTCCCTGCAATGAACAGGGACACCTACAGCTCCATCAGGTGCTCAGAGCCCCATCCAGCCTGACCATGGGTATCAGGAAGGGCAGCCTGGGAAGGTCACTGTGTGCCAATAGCTTTAAGCCAGGAGAATGTGTGTCCCAATTACAACAGGCTCAGCAAACACATCCCCACACCGGCACTGTGGGGTCAGACAGTCAGGGCAGGGGTTTCAGACAGCCTCTCTGGCTCTTAATAAAAGGACCTTACTCATTGACTAGTGCTGGTAATCAAGTCAGAGGAGATAAACAAGGTTAGGGTCCTCTTCCAAAGATCAGGGTCTGTTGGCAGAGGAGCCCACGCTCCTGTACAGCTGTAACCCCAAGAGCAGCTGTCTGCACACCAGGGCCCCAGCCTGACACCACCCAGCTGCAGCGGGTGACACCAGCCAGCTGCGGCCTTAAGGTCAGCCAGATTCTGCGTTTACAGGAATCTTGCTCAGTGAGGGGGCTTTTCTGCATCCCATGCCCAGAACGAGGTCTGCTTCCCGTTTCTCTGATGTTTAAACTGCTGGTAAGCTCATCCAAAAACTAATATTTGGGAATGGATGGAGCTGTTTATCATGGCCACTGCAGTTGTATTGTTAATTTTGGGTACACACATACTGCTGCCAGCAAGGGCTGCTTGGAGAGGTGAACATCACCCACAATACCCAAACAACCTCGTTTACACTTCCTTACTCATTAACAGAGGAGGGACCTAAGAGCAAACACACTTTTATCTTCCTCTGTGTTGCTTAAAGAGATACAGCACAGCGAGGCAGAGGCAGCGTCAGCTCAGCAGTGTGTGCAGTGCCCACGGAGCGATGTTGGAGTGCAGCAGGCACCTGAACGCAGACCTGGATGTACAGACAGGCCCTGCTGCCCCGCCCTTTGCCTTCACACTGCAACCCGATGGATATGCCGGCAGCAAATCAACAGCTTGCTCTAAATGAGGGCAATTGTACTTCTTGCATGTGCCCGTGCCCTGCTAAGAGCAAAGATCTGTTCATTTTGGACTGCAAAAAGAGGAAGACAGGGTGCTTGGTACAGAAACACAGTGCTGTGAGCTCTGAGCAAGGCTAAAAACCCATGGGATCCGGCCCCTTAGGAGATGATTCACCATGATTCACCTCTCATCTAAAGTGAGAGGACACGAGAAAGGACTTTTGTACCAATTTTTGAGAGTCCTCAGTACAGCTCTTCAAACTCTTCCTCTCGGTTCTCCAAGCCCACCTCCCCTTACTGCAATGGAAAGCCACAGAACCTGTGAGAGATGTCAGACAGTGCCTGCACGGCTGCCTGGGAGCCCCAGAGAGCCTGCAGTTGGGCAGCTGGCAGGGTGCCTTCCTGGCACACAAGGTGCGCTCGCACTTTGTCCTGGCACGTAGGCACGATGCACCACATCACCACGGAAAGAATCCACACTCAAAATTTCCCCTGGAGGATCCTTTCCCTCAGGGAAAATCCCTGCAAATCCCCCCTGCTCTGCATGAGTTTGTATGGCACCTGGTGCTCGGCGCTTTACAGCTCAGAGATGCACACAGAGAAATCAAATAAAGACAAGGCTTTAATAATTCTCTCCATAACAGATAAGATTTTAGGTGGATACAAGATCTGGGAAAAAAAAAAAAATAAAAATAAAGGTTATCCTTATGAAGCCCTAACAGGAAAAAAAAAAAAAACCAAAACAGCTAACCACAGTGCCTTGCCCTGCCCAGAAAGAGAGGGCGAGAAGTGAGCTCAGCTTTTATTGGGCTCACTGCTGATAGAGACCAAAACCATCCACCGCTCCCACAGTGCCCCCCACCCAAGACCCCCCATTCCTGATGGACTCTGGTATGAGCCCATCCCCAGCCCTTCCAGCAAGGCAGGTGGGAATGTCTGCACACATCCAACTGCTCAGACAGCTTGTCCTTGACCCTTTGTCTACTCTGGCACGCAGGAGTAGCTTGGGAAAGACCAACGCACTGATGGCAAACAGCACCACGGCAGGAGAGGGACCTTTATCTTGTTTGCAGCCTTTGGGCCAATAAGTCAGAGCCAGAAGCAAACTTTGCTCACCCCCTGTCCTGTGGCTGCAGAGAACCCAGAGGAATGTCAGGAGCTTTGTGCTGCTGGGAACCATGCAGCAAAGAAAGCAAGCAGAAACTCAGTGATTTCTGCTAGGGTGGATTGCCTGCCCAGCTGATGCTGGGAAGACCTCAGGGCTTTGGAGCAATGCCGGCATCAAGCTGAGGGAGCAGCGTCCCCTTCTGGCAGCTGAGATATCGTGCACTGCATCACTCTTGTGCAGGACTGGCAGACAAGCAAAGCACCACGAAGGAAATATTCTACAGAGAGACACCTGGGTGAACGGCATTAAACCCAACCTGCAAATCCTGCTGTCTCCAGGAATTCGTTTGCAACTCATCTGTGATACCTCACGTGGCACAAGCTCAGGCTGAGGACAGCGACCCACTGCTGGGCGCTGATTTGAGCTGGACAAGCAGAACTGGGATTCGGTGAGCTGACATCTAGGGGAGGAAACACAGGATAGGAGCACAGCAGGAACCACGCTGGTAACAGCCCTTCCCTACATCTCACCCAAAAGAATCACTGCTTCTCACTCAGAAGAACGCAAGGCTGGTGGTACAGCTATTAGCAGTCATGGGAAGCCCCAGCAATGGAGTTGGGGTGGAGGTTCTCACACTGAGCAGCATCCCCACAGCCATGTGTTTTGGGGCAGTGAGAGCCACCACAGTCACACTTGGAAGTTAACAGCACATGGGCTCTGACTCGCATCTTCCATTCCCAGACCAGGACTCAATCCCTCATTTTAAATTCCAGCTTGTCTTCCCTCCTGCATCTGAACCTGGTCACTGAGTACCACTAAGCATCTCACAGGTCAGATATCAGGAAAAACTCTGAAAGAGCAGTGGTGTGCTGGCACAGGCTGCTCAAGATGGTGGTCACCATCCCTGGAGGTGTTCAAGAGCCATGGAGATGAGGCAATGAGGAATGTGATTAACGGGTAATATTGGTGGTAGGAGGATGGTTGGATTAGATGATCTTAGAGGTGTTTTCCAAACTTATGTTGGCCCTTCGTGCTTCTCAGACCCTCCACACTCCTGCCCAAGCTTGTGGTTCTGTTCCCAGAAAGCCTGTCCTTGTCCCTTGCCCCTGTTTAGCTATGTCCCAGGATACCTTCTCGGCAATTAAAGACTTCTCTTAGTGCTCTACATGCAGCTCTCTTGACCTCCATGATGCTATCGGGCTGGTCTGCCTTGTAGACCGCTGCCTCCACCACGAGCTGCTGGAAAGCGCCATCCAACAGACACTGCATCCTCCTGAGTGCTTCCACGGCCCGGGACAGCTCCTCCTGGGAGCCTGAATGGATCACCACCAGCACCAGCGCAGCTGGCACGCATGGGAACAAGTTCCTTATGTTAAAGAGGGTCTCATCCAGATAATCCCACTGCATCAGCTGCTTCAAAGTGGTGGCTTGCCAAACCATAAAAACCAGGTGCGGTTGAACGTCTTCCTCCTCCTCTTTTTCCTCCGTCTGCTGCAGTTCAGTCCTCCCATCACCTACACTGAACAGGTCCTGAGCAAAATCCATCAGCACTGAGGGGGCTGTCATGTGGACGTCCTTCATCTCCATCACCAGCAGCTCCCCGTTCTTCACCCCCAGCATGTTCAGTAGGTTAAGGAACTCACAGTTGGTTTGGTCTGTAAGGGAGCAGCTGGTGGGCTCCTCTGATCCCATAGCTTCTTCCTGCGCAATTATTTTCTGCTGCACTGCTGAGGAAAGGAGTGAAAGGGGTTTTCACTCAGGAGCTGTAGCAAAGGTACTTGCAGTAGAGGCCTTCCAACAGGCTACACTTGTTTCTTTCAGTTGTGTGCAAACACAATTTGGTGAGGAACAAACAAATGCTATAGAAAATAATGATGTGTATTCCACCTCACACTTCTTTGAATCTCACATGTACAACTCCTTGGTGCTTGTAAAAATAAAGCCCTGCTTGACCCAAGTACCCTGCAAACTGCCCACTGCTTATCCATGTAAATGCTGCAGCTTTTCACTCTTAAGTGCCCTCTTGCTGTTGAAGGAGGCAAATTCAGTTGTTTTAGCTAGGAAATAATTTGTACACCAGGCGTCAGTAGCCAGGTCCAAACCACTACTGAATTTCACTTAAAAAAGGTATTTATCCAATAATGTACTCTAAGTCAGAACACAGCTGTTCCACCTCCTTCAAAAGAAAAAGGATCAGTCCTGAATGAAACACGAGCCCACCACAGGAGAGAACTGCAGGAACACAGGAGAACAAAGGCCCAGCTCAGGTGTCCCAGCCCAGGCACAGGATCTCACATGGGGAATGAAGACATCAGCATACCTGAGTGAAGGTGAGGGCAACCACTTCCCTGCCTCAGCAACGACCACCCACTCAGGGTACTGATGACTCCTTTGGGGAGTGAACTAAGACTATGACATCAGCAGCAGCCATGCCAACCTGCAGCTGTCTGAAGCTTCCCTTAAAGTCATACGGTATTTTTTATGCACTAAGAAACTCGCACTTAAAGAATCCTTAAGTCCACTTTCATTGCCTTTTTGTTCAACAAACCTCAAGGAGTTCATTAAAGTAACAGCATCTCAGTGTATGAAATCTTCCCATCCCAACACTACTGTGGGAGGGATGGCAAGAAAACCAGCAAGTATTAACACACACACAGAGAAACTGCATGACAATGTCAGACAGCTGTCCCAGCAGCATTCATTGCAAAGTGATGTTTCAAGAGAAACACCAATATAAGCTTCCCTTTATTGAGGAGGCAAGGAAATATTTCATTTTCTATAGAAACCCTGGGTGAACAGTTTACAAAGGTTGTAAACATTCAGATGCTATGTTGGAGGCAATGACTGGTCAGGATAAAGGCTGTCAGTTATTCACCTTTTCAAAGGTAACCTGCTCAACAGATGCCTTTAACAAGTACTGGTCAAATCTCCAGCTTAGGAGCCACTTCAGAGTCACTACTACATCACTGTGCTGTGTGTTGTGGTGTTATGCCACTGAAAAATAAGAACTTTCAATGTAGGTGGAGGGGATTAAAAACAGGAACGTACAAAAATGGAACACATTCTGTATTTTATTTCCAATAAAAATTTAGATCCTGGATGGATACAGCATCTGAAAAGCACAAGAACGGAATCACATTAGAATTCCTGTTACTGGACTGTACAATTTAACAAGTTTTGCAGTTATAATTTGAATCATGGATCTCTTCAATTACTTTAACAGCGACTTCCATTTATGCAGAAAAGGTACAAAAAGCCTAACAAGCAACTTGAAGAAGCATCTGATGGCATACAAGTTCCCACCCAGCAGTCAGCTCTCCTGCCCAAAGAGCCTTCCCATGCCTACTTTAGGACTTCACCATGCAGCTCACGCAATCATCTGGGAAGTAAGAGGGAAAGTTGATGCCGCAGCCCCTTTGCCAGTAGGTAGGAAGCGGGGCAGAGTACAAAAAGCAGACGTGCAAGATGAGATTAAAACACACCCCAAGGCTGACAAGGAACCCCTCGTTCCCAAAGCTACTCACCACTCGGATCCTGTGTCCAATGGCCTTGGCAGGGAGGTTGGAGCGGAACTTGGCACGGACCATGCCGCTGTTGCCATGGGCACGGGTTACCTTCCCCCAGATCACCCGTGTCCTGTTGGGTTTGCCACCAGGGGTTACGGTGTTGCTGAGGAAACAGAAACATGTAAAACTTACTCAAGTCTCATTCCAAAGGAAATGCATTACCTTTATCTGTAAGATTTCTCCAGACACACCACAGGCATGGAGACAGGCAGCAGCTACCTTACAAGAAGCCACATGCCACCTCTAGAATGACTGTGGTGATGCTAAAAGCCTGATCGATTTTAGTTAAGGCAATTTCACTGCCATGTCTGACCTCTTAACAACTACACTCAAAGAAAAATTAAGCAGAAGGCAACAAACAACTATTTTTAATGCCTCTACCTCTGCTAGCACAGCAGAAGCAACAGAGCTGTGACAGACACAAAAGAGCTGGTATACAACCTTCTTTTTGCCTGACAAAATATTCTGCCACTAAAGATCCCAAAAACTCAGTGCTCATCTCAAATTCATCTCACTTCAATTTGCTCTATCAACCTGCCTTCAGTTTTCACCAGCCTCAAGCAAAGCTTCTTTCTCATCCCATTTGCTCCTTCAACATAATCATTCACTGTTACAAATTACACTTCACATTAATTCTTGATCTGAACGAAGGACAAAAACACCATCCAGTTCAAAGCTAACAAAGAACTTTAAAGCTAAGACAAGCTAAGGAAGTTGTTCTATGTGACACTGCATTTTATTGGTAAGCTGAGCTGAATTATTTTCTTTATTCTATCAAAAGATACATAAATCGTTTGCTCACATCTCAGCATTTGCTAAAGCTGATGTAAGAGGCTGACTTACTTTTTAGCTTTGTATACATAGGCACATCTCTTGCCTAAGTAGAACTCTGTCTCCTGGCGGGCATAAACACCTTCAATTTTCAGCAGGGCAGTGTGCTCCCGCTGGTTTCGGAGGCCACGTTTGTAGCCAGCAAAAGTGGCCTTGCACCACAACCTAAAGACATGGAAAACACACAAATTAACTCAATTCAAAACAATCAACTTTTGATGGAAGGGACATCAAAGCCCACGCAGCCCACCCCGTGCCATGGGCTGGCTGTCCCCACCAGCTCAGGCTGCTCAGGGCCCATCCAACCTTGGGCACCTGCAGGGATGGGAACCCATGGCTCTGGTCAGCACTGCCAGGGCCTCACTGCTTTCAGAGTAAAGAATTTACTACTAACATCTAACAGAAATCTCCCTTCCTTCAGTTTAAAACTTCCCCCCTTGTCCTATCGCTATTAGGACACGTAAAAAGTCAGTCAGTCCCCACTCCTGCTTATAAGCTCCCTTCAGGGACGGACCGCTACAGCCAGTTGAAGTCAGGGGTTTCAAAGAGGGCAACGCAAACGTAGTGATGTGCCAGATACACAGGGTGCCCAGCGGGCAGCGCAGTGCTGGGAAAGGAGAGCAGCCACAGCCATCTGCTCACCGCCTGCAGCATCACCGCAGTGCTGCAGTCTCGCCGTGCCAAGGCGCACGGCAGGCACTCACCTCCCGCTCATGGCGTCCTCCTGCAGCGCAGTCCCGGCAGGCCTACAAACGACACACAGAACCGTGACCGCCCCGACCGGCGGCTCCGTCGCACCCGCGGACCGCCCGCAGCCCGGCGCCGAGCCCTGAAGTACCGCCGGCTCCCGCGGGGCGGCTCCGCCTCCTCACAGCACGGCACCCCCGCTTCCCTCCATCCGCCGTACATCGGCGCCATCCCGCCCGCTCCCCGAACGCCACACCGCGAACCGCAACGCCCAGGTCGCCCCGCAGCCGCCGGGAGCCCCGTTGCCGCCGCAACCCCCCCGGCAGCACCCCGCACCGCCGCCGAGCCCCGCTCACCCCCACGGCGCCCGGCCAAGATGGCGGCGAAAGGAGGAGGCGGAGCGCTGCCCGCCGGGATGTCGCCTCCAAGGCCCCCGGCTGCGGGCTGCCCGCTGCAGCGCCCGAGCGCAAAAACTACGAGCTGGCCAGGCAGTGTGCGCGCCCCTAACGCGCCGTCCTTCGCCGTCCCTCGCTCTGTCCCCACGTCCCTTTCCTGCTTCGGGCGGCGTTTCGGGGATGGGTCTCGGCACCCGCTCCGTGCAGGCACTTACTGAGGCAGCCTCGCGAGGCCCCCGGGCACAGCGGTCGCCATGGAGACGGGGTCGCGGGGAGCGCCGCGGCGGTGACAGGGGCGGCGGGGGTGAGGAGGTAAGGAACAGCCAGACCCGGCAGGGCCAGGAGAATATTCTCTAATAACTGAGTAACTGTCACAGCAGCGGAGGTGTCTCAGCCGATCAATAAACGCTCCCTAAAGCTTTGCTCCAACAGTAGGGCTAGGCAGGGTTTTGTAAGGCGCCGAATACTGGCCTGTTTTTTTTATAAAAGGGAAGATAGCTCTGGTTCACGGCCCAGCTGTTGCCTCTGTGGCAATTCAGAATGTCTTTTCGCCTCTACATCTGTGAAACTGAGCTGGAAGAGATGCAACATCCTCAGCTTTGGATTCGCTCACTGGAATGGATGGGTATAGCCTTGAATAAGTGAGAGGAACGCTGCCACAAAATGCTGCCCGTGGAGCCATCGGAGTTCAGGCAGCAGGATGGGAGAAGTGTGTGTCCAGGAACCCCACACAGCAGAGGGAGCTGCAATCCTCAGAGGGACAGCAGGCCACACCTCTCCTAGTTGTTCTCAACCATATTTCTTAATCTGTTTTTCTTTCCCCTTAAATCAGCAGGGAAAGAATGTCAGCCCAAGATCTTGGGGGAATCGGAGTCCCTCATATATACTTCCTTTTTATTAATAGAGCTTAGTGAAGGAGTTCAGCAAAGCACCATCAGTAAGGTCAATGCCAGTGACTGGATCGAGAGTGTGAGGCCTCACTCACTGCTTGCCATGTTCCTAAGTGCCCCAGGCAGTGTTTTCCTTCTCACTTCCAAGTCATCATAAGACCAGGCAGGGCGAGCTGCTTTGGCACTGGCATCTGCTGAGTGAATCCATGGCTATAACAGGAGATACATGGGAGGTGCAAACCAGCAGGCTTTCGAGAAGCATTCCAGCTGCGAGTTGTCCTAACAGACATTAATATCTTGAGTTAATTCTCTCCTGGACAGAAGTTATTTGTGAAATAGAGGAGAAGCTGTTGCATCCTCCTTTGTTTCCAAATAAGTCACTTTTTCCTATGAGAGCCGTGTTATTTTTTCTTTGAAGAATGCTGTCGTCATCATCTGTCAGAGCTCTCATAACAAATCTTTTTTTTTTTCCCACCATATTTTTAGCATTAGCCCTCTGCATGTACTAGGTTATTCTTGTGTTATTTAAACTCAGAATGTACATCGTGGATTTCTTAAAAAGATTTTAAAAAAGAATTTTATTAGTGCCTCTTAGCTAGAAAGATACATTTTCTGACCAAAATGCAAAAGCAGAACTTGCATCTTCACTCTGTCATTAATTCTAAGTCTGAAAAGAAAGAGGAACTGACACTTGTAGTTTGTTACACAGATTATGAGTGATTTACGTGGTATGCTTGCAGATTGGACTGTAATATTCTGCAGGCCTAGGATGTGTTTATGCAAGGGTTTTACAGATGGCACAAATGCAGTTGTAGGTAGAGCAGCCAAACGAGGCCACCTCGTCCTGCATTTCTTCAGCCTGCCCTCCCAGATCTGCTGCAGGAGGGACCAGAGCTTTGTTTTGTGAAAGCTAAACATTCCCTCTGTCCCTGAAGGCAGCCATTAGCAGAGCAGGGCTCCTCTTATAAACAGTGTATGAAAAGCTATAAACAAAGCTAGGGAAGTGTATAGAAGGCTGCAATCAAGGCTATTTCAGGTCTACCTTTAGTTTAAACTACTGTTACTAACACCATGCTGCTTTTCTCATGGGCACCTCTTGTCTCTGTTCCTCTTAGCAAGAGCACACACACTAAAGAAATGGAGAAACTCAGTCGGCTGGAAGCTCTGCTGCTTACTGCTGTGCTGGAGAACTGTGCTGATCAGCTCGCAATCCTTGGCTACATCATGCCAGTTTCACACGAGGGCAAGACAGACACCAGCCATGTATGTGCCTCTTGCTCTTTAAGAAAATACCTCTCATTTTTCGTCTTGTCCTTTATGTCTTCTATTAGCTTTCTTTAAATAGCCACTCAGGTATTTTTTTCTCCATGACCCTTCGGGGGAGGAAGCAATAAAAGCACACAGATGATCAGTTTTAATATCTGTACTGCAGCAGCACTGAGAAGCGTTTGGCAAGGCTGTGCAAAGGATTCTGGTGACCTAAGATGAGGTTCCGAGGCTTAGTTTTAAAACCTCCATGGTTAGATGACAAGTAAAGGATTGAGGAAAAATAAACAATACATGTCTGAAGTCTTATATAAGTGCATTGCCACTTCTGAATTACTAACAAACAAGAACTATGACCCAAATCAGGGTCGTTCTGATACTCTGTGAGTGCTGAGGCTCCTCTAGTCCCCACAGACAACACATGAAGAAGGATTTCCCTTCAAAATGTATTAGTAACTACTCGTTATTAATGTCTGTTATTAATTAGTTGATTTCTAATAGGCACCACAACTAAGTGGTTTTGGGGAGAGGTATAAAGTACAGATCTGTGCTCAGGCAGGGGTTTATTGTTTTCTGTATGTATGGTGGCTGTTAAGAGTATGTGATAGACACAAGAAACAAGGTGGGATCGTCTTGAGGGGTAAACTGCCGTAAGTTCTGTTCTCATAGATTTAAGTGATACAGCAGGGCTGTTTTCAAGTTGAAAAAGAGTTTGAAATTTGCTTAACTAAAAACGATGGGAAATAAAACCTGGATGGAAATAAAACCTGAGCTCCAAGTTTTCAGACCGAATGCTATTCAGTGCCTGATGTATCAATTAAGAATGGAAGAGGAAAGTAAATCAATAAATCATCGGCAGAAGCTGCTCGACACTGAATTTAGGGCGTGAGCGATGCTTAGGCTGTGCGATAGAGGGCGCTCCTCTCCTTAGCACGGGGAGCCAGTCTCGCCTGTTTGCCGAGGGTGTTTCTCCCTCACAGATGTGGGTGTGAAAGCTCTGCTGTGCCAGCAGCAGCAACACAGAAAGCGCAGATCTCGAGAAAGGTGGGAGCTGTTCCCCTTCACATGATCTGAGGTTGACAGACCTCCTAAAGGTACACTTAGTTTTCGTCTTCAAACACAGAGGCTCATTTTTACTAAGTAATTTCTTAACACACAGTTTTCCCATAGAGTGCAATCCTCAGTAGTGTTCTTAAAGATGCAAATACAGATCAAGGAGGAAACAGTTTAGAAAACAGAAAATGGCTCTGGGGAAGCTCCTTGCTAACTCTGGTGTTCTGCAATTCACTACTTGTCCCTGTTCTCATTTACATTTACCTCTTGTCACTGCGTTTGTAGAAGACCTGTATTTGCAAAGCACCCTTCATGCTACTTGAGCTCTGTCAGTCCAACAGATCTGTGGCATTTTCACTGACTGACATTTCATATACTGACATATTCAAGTGCTGGCATTTTTTAGAGCCTTAGTCGCAGTGTTGCTTGTTCCTAAATCAGGGACTCTTGTAGACTGCTTCATGCAGTGCATTCCCCAGAGGAAGCAGCCTTTCTGTCTGCTCGATTTGGGGCAAAAGACCAGCAAAAGATAAACAGCTAGGGACTGCACGGATGGCACCACATGCAATTTACAGTCTCCTTGCTCTCCTGTTGTTCTTTGGCAATTATTAGTGCTTAATTCTCTACTGTTTACAGATAATCCAGTTATAGCCTGTCTTGAGCTTTCCCAGACATTACAAACACCTATTACAGCATCCATAAAATCTACATGATATTAAAGCCATTTGTTTGCCTAGAATAGTTATTTCAGAAATACAGCCTTCACCATCAACCCATTTAAACCCCTTTTTCTTCCTCCTAAATTAACCACGTACTTTTCATAGGTCTCCGTATACTTTGCATGAGATTCATTTCATGTAAATTTCACCGTCCAAAAATTAAGCGCGGAGTCGCTCAGTCTCCTCCTGCACCCAGCGCTGAGTCACGCAGTGCAGGGGCTGCTTCCTCCCCTCCCGAGCTGCACGCTGCATTCAGGAGGATCAGCCTTTTGCAGTGCCCTGCACGCTGCCCCACTGACCACAGCAGCACCTCGGAACACGAACGGAGCCTTTCTCCATCAGGGCCTTCTTGGAATGACTGCTAGCATGCACTGTTCCCAGTCTGACCTCTTGTTTTCGCTCTGCCCTCTGTGCTGCGTTGGCACAAACATTGGTGTGGTTGTGCTGTGATCTGGACTGCTAAAAATATAATTATTTTTTCTTTTCTTGCTGGAAAATGTTTCCTGTCAGCGAGTTCTTTTTTCCATTTCACAAGCAGCCAGGGTGGGCAGTAGGCAGCTATGGGCTAGGATGAGGCTGGAAGCCTCTGCATTAGCTGGCTCTGGTGGTACTGCTATTAAGTACTTAGTGACGGGCTAAGATCAGCTCTTGTTGTAACAACTACACTGTAAGCAAAGGCCTTGGTGACAGGCAGGGCTAAGACAAGCCGAGATAGGGAAAAGGCTGAGGAGAAACAGACTAACAAGCTTCCTGTACATAAAAGCTGCTGCAAAGAAGGAAGGAAGGCTTTTTTTTCTGTTTCTACAGAGACTGGGACAAGAAATCAGGGGCTCAGCTGCTGAAGTTTCAGAAATAGCTTCCTTACAAGAGTGGCACGCTGGTACTGACTGCAGGGCATATGGTCTCCATGGCCAGGGGTCTTTAAGAATGTATCAGACAAACATCTGAATCATCACCTCTTGGGGCAGGTGAGCTGACCTTCTGAGTCCTGTCACTTTTGGCCTTTTGATCCCATCAACTTCAGTAAGTCTAAATGGGGTGCTCAAATCTAACCTAGATGGAACGTTTCTGCTATTCAGTTCTTTGTAGAATCATCAACTGGTTGTAGTATAGGTGGATTTGTGTTTATTATTAATTCTTCTCCCTCCCACATAAAGCTGCAGAGGGTCTGTTCCTATTGCTCAACGTGCAAGCAGGTTTCTCTTACTCTTTTTTAGATCGACAGCCAGAAAACGAAAGAAATCACAGACACCCAGAATGTGCTGGACATTAAGTATCAAGAGCTCAGCTCTGCAAGGCAGGGGAGGGGGGAAACTGTTACCTCCAAGTCTTGGAAAAGCACTGAATGCAAGCAGCAGCTGGCGAACTCTGAGAATCCAAAAAGAGCCCATCATATTTCCACAAGGGCCATGAAACCCAGTGCTCTGTCTGCAGATGATCTCAGAAAAATTCAGGCTGACAGGTGAGTGAAGCATAAATGTGATGCCTGTGAGGGATGCTCACAGCTGTAAAGTTCTCACTCTATCTTTGCAAAGCAAAATACAGGCTTCCCACTCTCCCACTGCTGGTGTTTCCCAGTCATGATCTAGAACGACTATTTCTAAAGAGAGCACTGGGGTCTGGCCTCAGAGACCATTTGGTTCTGACTCCTGCTTGCATCTGGATGCCAAGTACTGACAATGAGCTTACTTTGTATGTGGCTGTGAAACATTACCCAATTAATAATGGCTGAGTAGAATCCATCCCAGGATGCAGTCAGGTGCAGGCAGTCAGGTTCCCTGGCAGATATGAACGCTCAAGGCTGGGTCTGAGAGTTGTTTCATGAACTCAGTTACTCTGTAGGGCACATGGAACCTCTGGCAGCTAGAACCATTCTCCTTTGTAGAACAATCAATGTCCATAAAAAATAAAACCAAAATAAGTTTTGGGTTTTTCCCCAAATAATTTTCATTTTTGATCTAAATCAAGTGCCTTCATTTGCAGCAATACCAGCAGCCTTTGATTTAAAAGACAGACTGGGGAGCTGAGCATTCTGTAAACATTTTTCTACATCCTGGCTTCTGTCCACTAACGTTTTAACAAAGAGTTTCAAGAAAATCCTGACACAAATGAGGAAAATGCAGCTAACATAGCAATACCATATGCACCATGAAATTCAACAACTTGGGCAAGCCCACGTCTTTGTTAGGATTGCCTTAGGGCTGCACCAGGACGTTTTGGCACCCAGATGTCCCTCCATAGACACATCTGTGTCCCCAGATCTCATCTTCCAAGATCCATCTAGCTGCCATTACTGCTGCAGCCTTTTTCCTGATGGCAGCACAAGCTGGCACGACATGGGTACCTGTGCACCTCTTCTCTATTTCCTGGAGTAACATTCAGACCATAATGTGAAGTTATAAACTTGACCTTCTTCCAGATACATAGTTCTCTAGAGCTGGAAGCAGCAAGTGCCATGGGAGAGGCACACTTAGGTTTGCTAAGTCATAAGAACAGAAATGGATCTTGCATTTCCTTTCTTTTTTTTTAAACATAATTGATAATAATTGATAAAGGTGGCAGACACTGTGGTATCAGTGTACGCCTACTAATTACTTTGTGTTCATTTTCTCTCTGGCAGGCAGCATGTGAGTGATGTAATTACAGCCACTGTGAAGAAGATGGAGGAATCAGGAACGTTTGATAGCCTAATAGAAGCTAATGGGAGAGAGAAGGCAAAGAAAAGCAACTTGAATGACATCCTCATCAGGTCAGAGTTGTGTTCTGTACTTTTCTGATTAGTGGTTTGGAGCCAAAGCCCATTTTCCCTCATTATACTATATAAAAGGAAAACAAAAACAAATCCTACATCAAGATATGGAAAGGATTCTTTTTCAGCTTGAATTATCCTGAGCACTTCACAAATTGCATTTGCCCTTGGAGAGAGAAATAACTGCCTGTACTGATACTAATCTGACTGGAATTGTCTGAGCTTGGACACCAGCGTCTACATTAATGCAAACACTGCTCCATATCAATTAAAACATAATGTGATGTAGGACTTTTCTGACCTTCAACTCCTTGTCCCCAGAGGAAGCCAGAGTAGCAAATAATCTGTTCAAGCCAGGGTCAGCAACATACGGACTTCAGGTTACACGATGCCCAGGAGGATCTGCTTTGACCCAAATGCTAATGTGCTCCCTTTTTCCAGTGCAGGGCTAGCACAGATGGTGGCAGAGGCAATTGTCTTGTGAACACAAAAGCCACCTCTTCCAGCATCTAAAACCAAGGGATTTATTGTTTTTCCAAGGAAGGGTCAGAAAGCAAAAAATGAAAGCAGCAGTTGCTTGTGGAATCACTACTCAACACTAGAGTTAGAAAGGGGCATGCAACTTAACATCACTAAGGGAATAATAATTTTTATTCCATTCTATCAACCGTATCTAAGCACTGTGTTATCTGTTTGCTATACATTCCTTTCATTGCATACACTTGATCTGTATTTAAATATACCATATACTTGTCTGGTTTTGTGTCAATACACCAGTCTGAAAGCAGTTTGCAATAAGACTGGGACTCCTTATCAGGACCTTCTGTAGTAGAGTTACCCAGCTAAGTACTCCAAAAATGAAATGCACGTTTGACTGTAAAGGGGGGATAGGGTACAAAGCCTCAGGCAGCAATTCTTCTTACTGGCTTTAGATCAAACGATAAGCATAAAAGCTTGGGAAAGCCCTCAAACGAAAGTGAAATAACGAGACCTACAACATTATTGCATCCTTTTTGGTTTAAACTGTTAAACACCCCTGTAGGTTTTGGCTCGGTCCTCAAGGTTTCTGGTTCACTTTCCCTTTCATTCCCATCCTCTCTGCTTAATCCATACATCCCTTCTTTCAGGATTTACTTACCAAGAAGTTACCAGGTTTGGTGAGATCTCTCTGACCTGAAGATGTACTGCTTTCAACACTGAAGTTCAGAACGAAGAGATGAAAGCCTTTTCTATTCCTCAAACACTGGAAGCAGCTGCAAGCTTTTACGCTGCACTGAAGCAGGGCAAGCTTTTCACTTCTTTTAGTTCAGCTCTAACAAACTCACTGAGTGAGCAGGTTAATTGGAGCAGTGTTCAGCTAGGTGCAGCAACATATAAGGAGTCTGGAAATTCTCTATCTAGGTACACAGCTCTTGCTTTTCTTGATATATTCAAGTAACTGTATTCTCCCATTTTCCTTCAGGGAGGAAGAAGGAAAGAAAGAGATAAAGTCACTCCAGAAACAGCTGCAAGATGTCAAGAAAGAAACTGAAATAGAACTTCAGGTGAGATTACTTAACACTGGGCATCTTGCCAGGGGAAGTGTGTTAGCAAGCTTGCTCCTGCTGCCCAGGAACTAGCACTCAGATGAGAGGACACAGCACACGTAGCAATCCATCATTTAGGAATATAGAAGCAGAATAACTGCAACACTGATTTATAGCCTGAATATAGTTATTAATGAATTTAAGAATGCTGTTCAGTGGTATTCAAGCAGAAACTCAAAGTGCTTAAAATTGTGAAAGGCTCTGATGAAGTCAGAACACCTCAGAAGCAGTGCTGTGCAAGAACACTGCAAAGCATGGACATGAGTGAGTGCTGCTAATCTGCAGCCAGGAGGAGATTAGCTGCAGACAGCAGGATCTAAGGTTCTGTCATACTTAATGGTGCAGACATGACACCTGGCACAGAAGAAAGACTGATGGTGAGGGATTAAGAAATAGTGTGTCAGAACAGGCGTGGGGACATGCCATTTTTCTACCTGCAGTTTTGTCAGGGAAAAGTATCAGAATTTTCATCTATTTCCTAGGCTTCCACATACAACAAAATCCCAAACACACAAGCCCTATGCAAGGGCAGATCAATGTTACCATACACACACCCCAACAACTTTATCTGTGCGGACAGCTTCAGCCTTTCTTTCAGCACGTGAATTGTCTGTGCATGCACAGTAGATCAGGGGCATTCTGGACACATCAGACTTGCTGCACAAGTGCAGATCAATTAAATGGCATATCCCTGCTCACTGTGATGCTTACCAGACAGCTCAGACCCGATGGTCATGCATGCTTAAAGAGCAAAAGCACTCAGCTCGGTGAAGAAACATGCAAGTTTAACCTGTTTCTGCTGAGGTGAGGAAAAAGAACACGTGATGAAAAACAAGCAAAAGAAAGGCAAGGTCAGAGCTATACAAGGCTTGAAAGAAAGAACAAGAATCTGACACTTGGTTCATTGCAGAGGAAGAGGAAAGCAAGGGCATGTGAAGAAAGGCACCGTATCAGTAAGAATTTTGTCCTTGGACAGAAGAGTGGCCACCAAGCCAATAAACATTTGGCTGCACAGAGGAATTTCAAGCTGCTGACACGCTGCTGGAGTACAGTTTATAGAAGATGAAGGTTTTATGTTGGCAGCCTGGATGCGTGTGTAGTGGAAGGTTTAATTGTAAATAAGTGGATGGTTCCAAAAACAGGAAGGATCTATCGACACTGGAAATATGTACAGCTATCTACGTGCACCAGAAGTGCAGAGGAGATATTAAAACAGAACAGCAGAGAAGAAAGCAGGAATGTACAAGATTGGAAAACTAACTTACGTCAGTCCTCATCTGCCAGCAGAGATCTTGGAAATGCGTAACGTACACTGGGAAATGTAGCAGGATGAAAAGAGCACGAGGAATAAACTGTGGACGTCACAGAAAGGAGTCACTGAAAGATGTGGGAAGATAGCAAGTTAGGAGGAATACCAAGACAGAGCAGTTGTGGAAACTGAAAGAGGAAGGAGGGATGAAGTGCTCTTTTTTTTGGTGTGCGCTGTTTTTCTCCCTACAGATTCGAACCCGTCCTGGCACTGCACAGTCAGCAGCACAGCTGGTGCTTGTCCTGCCTTGCACCTCTCCTAGCTCTAACAGTCATACAACGCTGAGCACACGCTCCTCTCTGTGTCCTTTTAGTACCTTCTGCTAATTTGATTCTTGCTTTTTGCCTCATCAAATGGGATCTGCACCCATCTGGGATTTTGGTTTTATGTTTCCAGCTTAAAAGTATTTTCCTGGGCTTCCTTATAGCTTCAGCTTTGATAACAAATCAAAGACAAGACTACTTTCAAGTAGTGCTTTCCTCCTGTGCCAAAAATAATGGTGTCTCACTTTGTCTCCCAAGGGAGAATAATTTCTATTTGCTTCATATGGGATTTTCCCCATAGGCAATTTTACAGACACTTGCAGGATTTGTCACCTCGCCAACTAATTAGGAGCAGAAATACAGCTTGCTGATTTTAGAGTATTTTGAACAATAATAATACACAGGCCTTTAGACAAAAGCCTATATGGTTGTCTCCAGTCCAGTGGCTGAGAACACAAAACCAAACAGATCTCCTCATGGAACCAGAAAAACGTGGTCTTTGCTTCACACGTGTTGCTTCTGTGTATTTTCAGCCTTGCTATTTCTTAATGAGATGCCAATTAAAGCTGTATTAGCTGGCTCAGCTCATTTTTCTTTCTAATAGAACACAAATCAAATGCTACATGTTTTCACTTATTTTGTTTCCTTTTGGAAAACACTGCTGTCTCGAAAGCTGCTGCGATGAACAGTTTGATTTTAGATTTACCCCTCTGTGTCACCTGGCTGCAGGAATTCTGCTTGCTGCTACTGCGTTTATTTTCTAACATGCAGAAAACCATGCAGGTTCCTTGGAGCAGTGATGACATTCTGTACAAACAGAACTGTTGATGTTGGATAAGATAATGTTTAGGAGAAAAACTTAAGAGATGTTGCCTTTTAAATTCTTGCACTGCTATTCACTCAGACGCTTTTTGTGACCTGTAGGTTTTGTGGTCAACTCATAGCCATACACTGCTCTGTGTTTACACTGGGGAGATGTACCAGATGACTTCAGTGGAAAGCAGGAGGTCTGTGATGGTCCTGGGGCCACGTCAGCCCCCACAGCAGCTCAGCAGGACGCAGAGCTGCTGCAATAGAGCCAAACCTGGAACCATTTGATGCCATCCAGTTCAATCCCTTGCAATGAAGATGGACATTACAAATCATCACAGTGGGTGACCTGTCAGCCCTGTCGTCCTTTCAGCTGAAGCATCTCTGGGGGGGGTGCAGCACAGGGGTGTTCTGGCAGCTGGGACAGATGTGTCTGTAGGGCTGCATGCTGTGCTTTCAGGGGCTGCAAGTCCCGGCTGCAGCAGGTGTGTAGATCTAAGCGTATCTTCAGGCTTTGCAGGCTAAGGTTTTACAGCTGCCAGAGGAAAGCTCATCCACACTGGTCATGGAAGCAGGGAGGCAGGCAGCAAGACACAGTGCAGGCTCACCAGCTGCCAGCACATAGCTCCTGTTTGCTAATTTTGTAGCCAGCTGCATTTTAAGTGACTGCAAATACTCATTGCTGTGGAAGAACGGAGAGATCTGGGGGGTACTTGCAGGACATAAAAGTAAGTGAAAACACAAAATGTGCATACCTTCTCCAGCAAAGTATTGTTGCTTTTGCCACCAAACAATGTTTTTTGGTCAGAATTCATTGGTGCTGGCTAACAGCAGCAGACAGGCCTCTGAGCTGGTGTCTGTGAGCTGAGAGATCTGAGAGAACAGCTTGTTTGCCTGCTAGCAGAGCAGACTGGCTCGTAACAACTATTTCCTGGGTTTTGATCTTGCTCTCTGCCAGTTTTGTGATAGTTCTGGACACATGATTTATGATTTTGCATAGCTGAAGTCATCCCAAATTAGCAGCCCAGAGGTTTACTGCATTAGCTGTGAAAGCATGCTGTGTCCTTGTAGGGCCCTTTGCTGCCATAAACCAGAAATGAATAGATGTTAACTCTTTTTCCCAGTGCCTGCCCCTGAGGTTCAGGGCACAGCACAACCCACAGGTGGTTTCCCCCGGTTGGGGGCAGCAGCTGCATCTGCTATGTGCAACCTAACACCCAACACACCCCAGCACTGCAGCTCCAGGCCCATCAGCTGGGCTGCAGTAGCTCCCACATGCCTGCAGCCGACTCTCCCTCCAAGTGAACGCATTTCTGTAAACACCCACAGGGTTTTGCATTTCGCTTCCCGTCTGCTTTGCATCGTGTAATCAAGCCCCCAGACTCCCCACTTCTAACAAAGACATTTTGTAACACCAAATCCAAACCACAAACATGCCATGCAGCAAAGAAAACAGAGCAGACGGGTCCCCTTCCTGGCTGAGGCCTGGGACTCTGAAATCAAAAGTGGTTTTCCCTCCGCTTTATCGAAATAAGAAATAAAAAATGGTGTTCATGCTCTGCCCCACCTCTCTGAATTCTTTGTAGCCTACATCGAGCCCTTCTTTTCTGACCTGTTTCCAGACCCTTCACAGATAGCACTGCAGCAGTGACTGCAGCAGCTGAGCCTCAGGGCCACAAAACGCTGGTGTTTTCCTTTAGCATCCCCTTGATCTCTATGCCAGCCCTGCAATTCAGACACGCTTTCACCACAATACAGCGAGGCAGCCTCAAGATAAAGTGCTTTGGTCACCTCCCACATCTGCTGAGTAGGAACACAACTGTTCCCAGCACCCACCAAACTTCATCAAGGAAAATAAAAGCCATTACCGGAAGCCTTAATGGGGCACGAACAGGTTGTGTCTGTAAGCTGTCTGCAGTCATGTGATGATACGGCTGCAAAAAAAAGATCTGATCTGGGAAAGCTTCAAAATATTTTGAACGCATGACTTTGAAAACCACCAAACAGCATCAGCCAAGGCCTCTGATTTTCAGGAGCCCTATAAATACACTTTACTGTTCCTAACTGTGTCCTACAAGGGGTGCAGAGGGAAGACTTTGCCTTTTAGCTGTTCCAAACACTCTTATAAGGAAACCTTTCCAAATGAGTCATGCTGCAAAGGCTTTTAAACACAGCAGTACTGAGCTGGCTTCTTCCTGTGGCATTTTTCTATGTTTACACTGTTAAGGAACGCAAGGATGCTTCAGAGACAAGATAGGTGGGCTTCAAACCACGTACATGCCAGCACCTTGGTATTTCATCTTCAGCTGCAAGGTTTGGCTGCTGAGCATCAAACCCATCACAGCGTGGCAGGAAAGCAGAGAGAACGGCTGTAATGGAGCAACTGGGAGCCAGACCAGAGGCATCACAGTTGGTCTTACATAATTGCACAGGAGACTTTGATGTCCTTTTTAACTAGCACTGCAGTTCTACATTTTACAGGAGGTTCAACTAAGTTGCAGGCCTAGATCTAATGAACTTTTAACCGCCATTCAAAGAAATTGATTAAAAAGGAATAAACAAACTCACAGTCCCAAATTGGGCAAATGCACTTTGCTTCCTGAGCATGCACACAAAGCTGACAAACGAGGTGCACTCACCCAGAAGTCTTGTCTGAGGAGTTGCTGCTGGAAACAGAGCTGTTCCAGAAAAGCTCAGGTCCACGCAAAACAAGGTGTGGGGAGAGGCTGGGAGCTCAGAGCCAGCTCTGCTTGGCAATCCTTGCTCTGACTGAATGCTCTTATAAAAAAATGGACACCATCTACTTGGTAAGATTTCAAGAAAGAACCACTGAAACATATGAGTGAGTTGAGATTTACATTTTTATCTGCTCCTAATGCTGTGTTTACACAGTTGCTGCAGAACTAGGGAAAAAAAAGCCAAAACAAAATAGCAAAGCCCAACAAATGCAAGGAACAAAGTATACTTGAGGAGACAAAACTTAGCACAGGTGAGGCTGAGGTATTACTCTCCTGTTACAGGCACTCACTCACTAATCCAAGGGTTTAGCAAAGCCTAACCTCAGTGGCTGAAATTAACTGGACTGTTCTCATGCTTCTTTTGCTTATTGTCTCCTCTCCCAGAACCGAGATAAAGTGATTCTCTACCTCAAACATGAGCTTCAACAGATGGAAGCCAAAGCAGCCATGGAGGACCGGTACATGAAGAGAAGTACAGACCTCCAGGTGCACCAAATCCAGAAGAAGTGCAGCAATGCAGAGAACAGACTGAAGAAGGAAATTGAGGTAAACCGTTCCCCAGTGCCCTTACTGAAAAGCATCTCTACCTGGCAAGAAAAAAGTCAACTCAGCAGGTTGTGTGTAGGTGAGGACAGAAGGACTCAGCACTATGCTGGGAACAATCCTTGCTTAGCAAGATCTTCCTCTCCTAGGGTTCTGGCGCTGCCTCTGCTTGTCTGCTGCCCCACTGTTCCATCACGTCATCCTTTTTCTCTTAAACCACAAGCATCCTTGTCCCTTGGAATTACAGCTGAAGCACGGTGAGCTGCACAGGCAGCATTTCTTCAGATCTGTGGGAAGGGGATGGAGAACGAACCTTTTTATTGAAACAAACACCAACAAAGAAATAGAAAAAAAACCTCACCAGAGCCACTGTCTGTCCTCTGCACACAGAGGCGGCTGTCCTGAGTGCTGCTCTCCTGGAGGAAAGCTTTATCAGAGGGTTTAGGTGATGCCAGGACGTTGTCTGCTCCTGGAACCATCACATGGATGCAATACTTTCTGCATCAGGTCCCAAACAGCAAACATGAGGCAAAAAACATTATTTGGTTCCTTTAAAGGTGATTTCAAACGAAATGGATTTGTTCTAAAATATATTCTTACCTGTTCATTTTAATGCTAAAAATTCATGCTCCACTTGCATTTGAGAACTGCCCAGCAACAGGAGAACTGTAAGTGCCACAGCAGGAAGCAGGATTGTGAGGCCATTCCTCTTCCCTTGCATGATGTCAACTGTGAACACTTCATGCACAGTCATTTGCTGGCAGTGCTGAGAGAAGCTGCCCGAGTCCTCCCTCCATCCCCTGATGCCCAGGCTGCTCTCCATCACCATCACAGCACAGATGTTGGAATGCATCAGGAAAGCCAACCAGCACGCGTGTGGTGCCCCAACGTTGTCTAACATTTTTCTGTCTGCACTGATCATAGGATTTGAAGAGGAAAACTGACGAGGAGATCCGAGTGCACATGGAGATTGAAAATTTCCTCAGGCATTACCACAAGGTCTGTGTGACTTTTCCTGTTAATGCTTAAACTGGCAACTGATAAACATTACATTGATCAGTTTCTAAAGAAAACCAATTATTGCTCCATCAAACTCACCAGGTTCCTGATGGTTGCTGGTTGGATTATTTCTTCCCCTCAAGCCCTAATTAACCCAGCTGTCCCATATTTGTGATTTGGATATATTGCCTTAAAATTACTGTTCATACAATGACTGGCACTGTTTATTCCAGAGTTACAGTTTTTCCTTCCCACCTAATAGGGATTTTGTTTAAACCATCCTTGGCAGTAGCTGGGATTTCCAGCAACTCGATGAGGAATGCTCTTGCACAGAGTTAGGGTGTCCATTTTGCACACCCAAGTGTTGCACAGTGGGAGCATTAAGAAAGAAAGGTCAGAAACTGCCAGCCTAATCATGCCTTTTCTTAATCTAAGGATGAACCAGGCCTGAATAACTGCTATCTCATGATTATTGTACCTGACTTGAGCAGCAAACAACCACGACTGTCCCTCTGCTGTTAATGCAAAGGTTCAGAGCTTTCCCATGATCAACAGCAGTGCTCGTAACAGTGAATGCCACTGGTGGGCATCTCGTAAACCATATGACCAGAAGAAAACCTGTCCTACTGCAGGGTACCCAACATCACTGCCTGTTTGTAATTTAAGAAAAGGGTAGAGAATTTTTAACAAAGTGCAAAAAAAGAGCTGCGTCTTCAGAGCAGTTACACTGTGATCTCTATGTTCCAGAACCACAGTTTGATCACTGCTTCAAAGTGAGGGGACCTCCTGAGTACAAACCTCTCTGCACTCAGACAGCAGCTGGTGGCTTTGCAGTGGCCCACACAGATGACCATGCCCTCTGTCTCCCTTGCACGTCCAGCTGTGACGCTGTCACAAGACTGATGCTTTTCCTCAGATTATTTTTCCATTCAAGCAGTGATGGCTGTTGCTATGGTGAAGTTAGTCATGAATGGCAGGAAGTCATCGGTGTGGTAGTTTCAGAAACACCTGCCATCCTATTGATGAGTCAAACAAAGCCAAGTTCACAACCTGAGAAAGCACAAACTGCTCTCCCTTGGGACCTAATTGCTGGTGCACTAAGTTTAATCCAGAATGTGGCCACAGAGTCACGTGCAGGATAAAAGCTCTCTCACTGTGAAACACTGTCTCCTAAACCCCTCTTCCCATGCATGAAGAATGGCTTCTGGTTGTCATTTACTTCACCAGGATTGTGCACAGATGTAACCCCCAGTGCATCGCCATTCTTCATGCACCTCTGAAAGCCCAGTCTAGTCTGCCTTCATACCCAGTCCAGTGCTGCTGCCCCCATGCTGGTCCCCAGCAAGTTATCATTACTCCTAGTGTTGTGATCCTTTCAAGGCTTGGCCGAGAAGGAAACACAGGCCGTGCAGATCTGATGGGCTTCTTACCCCCATCCTGAGAGCAGGCATGTCACAGCAGTAAACCTTTTCCCTGCTGCTCTTTGTCCCCTGCTAAGCCTCACTCTGTGCTATTGCAGAAGGTGGAAGAGAAGCTGGAATACTGGGTGGACAAGCATGAAAATGACACAGACGCTAAAGATAAAGAACTCAACGCCCTGAAAGAATCAAAGGCAAAGAACCTGGAAATGCTGCAGAGATTTGCCAGCGAGGTAAGAGAGCAGCAGCAGCAGCTCAGTGCTCACCCATGCAAAACTGCATCCTGCCTTTTTTGTACCGTCAGCTGCAGGACTCTGATTGCAGATACACAGGCAGAGCGGAGCAGGCAGCACAGAGCAAAGTGTGTAGAAAAAAGGGGGCTAAAAAAAATTCACTTGTAGGCATTCCTTATTGTCACTGGTCTGAGAAGCTGTGACTGATTTAGACGTTCCCCTGCTTGTGGGCTCCATTTTCACTCTGTATGCTGTCATCTCAGCATCCCAAGTGTTTTCACTCATCATCTGCTACCTATCCTGGGGGAACATGGATCCTTCCTACCAACATCTGTTGCCTGAGACCCCATCAGACAGCCATTTTACACCACAGGATCAGAAGGTTAATTACACACAGGCCATGAGCAGTTTCACTTTGGCAGCAGCTCTCAGTGCCTTAGGACTGGTGGTGGTAATGAGCAACATTTGCCATCTGGAATCAGGGAAGATCAAATATAGGAGGTAGGGGAGGAAGGTCTGTGTTTACCCATTACCCGTGAGCTGCCACAGGGCTCCTGGTGCTCCCTGGATGTGTTTTTCATGTGACTGCTGAACTCCTGTGCCACTCTGCAGTGCTGGACGTTTGAGGAAACCATCATCGCTGACCGGGCACAAAAAGAGGCTGAAAGACGAAAACGAGAGCAGGATGCCCTGGAGCTGAAGAGCATCCTGAAGGTAAAGGGGAGCAAAGCTGAGGCAGTGCTGCTCCACCAGCAGCTTGGAGTTAATCATTTGCACCACAGCTATTGTTCAAGCAGAAAATGGCCTGAGAAAGTTGGCTGGTGTGAGGTGGCACAAGTGAGGGACAGATTCATAGAATCACAGAATGGCCTGGGTTGAAAAGGACCATAATGATCATCTCGTTTCAATCCCCCTGCCATGGGCAACCAACCACTAGACCAGGCTGCCCAGAGCCACATCCAGCCAGATTAAACTTGTCCCTTCTCCTTGGCAAAGACAAAGGCAGCAGCTACCTGCAGAAGGGTTAAGAAGGGAACAAAAGACAAAAAGCCAGTCTCTTTAGATGATCCGGGGCTGTGCTCATCACAGCAGCCCCTCTGCATGAGTGACACAGGAATGGAGTCACAGAGCTGCTCCCTTCCTCTTGCCACCAGCTACAGATGCCCTTGGCTTACACATGGACATGAGCTGCACCATGGGCCAGGCGATCCTTCCTGCCGCTGGGGAGTGAGCGAGATGCTCCGGCCATTTTCCTGTGCCAGTGTTCCCCCTGAGATCTCTCTCTCCTGCTTCCAGCTGCAGTCCTGGTGGAGAGGCACAATGGTGCGCAGAAACCTCGGCCCCTATCAGAACCTCCGGAAGGCTCAGGAGAAGAATCTGTCAAATGAGAAAGGCAAAAAGGAAAAACCTGGAGCAAAGAAAAAGACGCGCTAAGAAACGTGGCCACAGATATACTCCAGGGCTCCTACTGGGTAAGGCACTGCTGTGTCCAGCAGCACTAAATAAACCATGGAATAGAACTCAGGCTGAACAGAGTTCATGATGCACAGTTAAGGTGAAACTCCTGTAACTTAAGACCCTGAATGATCTTTGTACAGCAAAAACACCGTTTCCTCAGTAGAAACGGAAACTGCGTTAAAGCAATGAGAAACACGATATCCTCTGAAGTATTTTATACAGCTCATGAGTAATTCTGCTAACGGCTCAGTAACTCACCAGCATGAGATGCTCTGCCTTGAGAACCTCCTCCGCAGTCCCCCAAAGCACGGTGTTGGCTGAAGCAATGGGGTTTGCTGTGGCTCCGGCGGCTCAGAGCGGGGCAGGAAGCCAGGTCACCCACATCTGGGCTCAGGCAGTGCTCACCCCGGTGTCAGTGGCAGCGTAGGTCGAGCCAGGGGAAAAATGCTGAAGGTTTGCAGTGTAAACACGAGGGCAGTCAAAGCACTCAGGTTTCCATTCCCACAGTACTGCAGAGTGTCAGCACATAGACAGAATAGCTCTACATGCCCTCCTACAGAGGGAAGCAGCCATGGAAAAAGACAGCTGATGTGCCACAGCCGTACCCACCATCCTGTCTGCAGCACCCGTGCGGGGAGACCAGGCAGCAGGCAGGGTGCAACGCCCTGCTTCATTTAACTGCAAGGGCAGCCCTTTCTCTGACGCTGCTGCAGCCACATACAGCGCGCAAAGCAAAATCAGCCCTGGGGCTGAGCTGGCTGGTTTCTAACAATCTTACAGAGAAGAGAGCTCAAACCATACAAGCCAAGCTGCGCTTTTTGTGACCATCCTCTGCTGGCCCTATCCAAACATCCTCGTGTCCAGGCTAAGCTGTGCCAAAAGCTCTGAAGTTCAAGTAGGATGACTGAGATCACGAGCAAAGAGCCTTTGGCTCAAGACTCTGCCTGAAGGGAAGGAAGGCAGGCACCAGCCCCTGGCTGCTGGGCTGAGCTGACTGTCAAGGGAGTGCTGACATTTCAGGTGCTTTAGACAAACTCTTAGTTGAAGTATAGATATTACTACTGGAGCACTGCTGGTTAAACCAGAATGCACGCCTATTCCTGGTACTTTCAGCTAAGGAAAAAGTACAGAATGGAAGGATGGTCTCTCTCTGCTTTATGCTAAGTTCTAGGCACGCTTCAGTAATGCAATCAAACAGCTGAAATCTGAAGCACGACATGGGCTTGTGTCTTCACCAGCTGTTCAGCAAACAAAATATAAAGTAAATCATAAAATCAACCTCAGCCTCTGCCTGGCTCCCCTGCAGCCCAGTTCCCCATGTCAGGGTGACACAGCACCTCTCGGGGTTCATTAAGGGGCCAGAGCTGCTGTGAATGAGGCAGTAGGAAGTTAAACTGCACCAAATCATAAATAATTCAGAACTTCCATTTCATTGCTTAATGTCTCAAACAGAAAACAAACACCCAAACCCACAAACTGCATGGACACAGCAAAGCTTGCTTCCAAAATCAGCAAGCTCTATGCCTGTATGTAACGAGGAGGGGGTATTTCTTCTTCAAAAACAATTTAAAACTATTCAAAGCAACAGTAGAGCCACGTTTGTTATTCCAGTGTTGAGGGCTGCTGAAAACCTCGAGTCTGGCCACTAGGTGCTACAGGCCTGTCAGGTGGGCAGTTTTTCAACCCTCCCCAGCCCACATGGACTCACACCCTCCAGGAACAGCACACCCACTCTTGCCTGAGCTCTGTTCATGCTGCCATCCATTCAGCTCCTCCGGGCTTCTCCGCTATATTTGCTGCCTCAGTCACTGCTCTCTTGTGAGTCTCACGGGGTCGGTGAGGAATCAGAGCTGACTGCAGTTCTGTGGCCACATGGCTGCTGAACGGACAGTGAGCGCACACAGCCCGCGTGCAGCACGGCTACGAACTGTAGAGCGAACCCAAGGCAGGATGAGGTGAGGAGGTGGAAGGTGAATACACAGCTGGCACAGAGGATGGGACATCCATTCACACAACAAGAACGGCAGGCAGAACAGTTCATGTAAGTCTTACAACTTTATTTCAAATTACCCACGGTTTCCTTTTATATTATTATTGTGCTGGAAGTTCACACTACTGGCAGAATACAGGCAATTTAAAATAAAGTGTACAATATCCAAACATATTTATATTTAACAGACATAGAAATTATGGAATGTATTTACAGACGTACAGCATGGGATGAAGCCTTAAAATCCTTTATTAATTACACGTTTACACTGCTTTCAGAAATAACAAAATTAGATTGCTTTGTAAAACATCACGGTATCTACACAAAAGGATTTTTTAATGTCTAAATTCACTTTAGAAGACCTCTGTTCCTAAAACACTTTTTTTATTTTTTGTTTTTTAGGTTTTTTTAGTTTTCCAAAGGAACATTTACAGTTGTAAAAGGATAACAGAACCATTTGCCACTGCGTCACAGCTGAGAATGGCAGACGAGTTCTCAGTGGTGTGAAAAGTTCTCTGTGGTTTATTTCAGCCAGGCCACCCAAGTCCCCTCCTTCACGAGGGGAAGAATCAGACCCCCGCTGTTCTGACCTCATCACATCAATGCTGTGAGGGACTCCTCAGTGCCAGTGCCACTCCATTTTGGGGGGGTAACATTGCGGAGCCTCAAACTCAGTGCTCACCATCGTTTGAGGAAGGATGGTGACACGACAGAGCTGGTGGATGAGCACCAGCAAAGCACAAAACGCCCCGATGGATTCCTCCCACATCCTCCAACACGAATGCCCCGGAAAGGAAAGGTAATTGCCTCTTCACACAAAACAGAATTTTATACACAACAAAAATTGCACATAAACACACTAAAAAATCCCATTTAGTCTGCAAAACAGAACCGTTTTTTGGTATAACACATTAAATAAACCGTACGATGAAACTTTAGGCTTGGATTTTTGTCCTAAACGTCTGGTCAACACTTATCTGCCAGTATCTGCCAGCACGAACACACAAGGCTATGCAGGTTAACCTAACGTGGCCACAGACACCTGGAAGCGCCGGAGCGAGCCGCTGCTTGTGACAGCGGGGCGACAGCCAGGTGACACTGCCTGTTGGTGGGCTCAGCTGCCACGTGTGCGTGCTGCCTGCAGCCCGGAGCGGCTGTCCTAACCAGACAACAAACACGGCCATTTCCAGCAGCTCAGACCCTCCACCTCCAACCCATTAATTCCTATGAACTCGTATTAATGAAACTTCCACCAACCTGAATGCTGTTAATTGTGTTATCGTCTGTAAGTGCTGGACTAAAGCAAACAACACCCTCACAAACTCCATGGGCAACGAGTGCTAGTAAGAAGTGACGTGCTCCCATATGATCCAAATGATGACCTCCTGTAAAAACTAATGTGAATTCAGTGTCCTCCTCTTTCCAACTGCACAAGAGACACACAAGAAACATCTGTGCTACGCTGCAGCTTGCTGTGAGTGGCAGAACCTTCCATCCAACCAACTGCAGCAGTAACTCCTGACACTTACGTAACCCCTCAAGAATTCCCAACAATCCCTACAAGTGGAATTACGTGAAACATAAAACCTACTTGGGAGGAAAGCAGGCCTGCACGGAGCTGCTCTCTTCTCCTACACATTGTGAGTTGTTGGCATTTTCACTTCTTGCAGAGCTCAGGGCAACGTGCTAGTTGGACTGAAAAGGTTTCTCCTTTCGGCTGTGCAGTTTTAAATCCCTTTCATGTGTTCTTTGTGACCTGCAACACAATCAGCCAATGCCAATAAGGAGCAACTGGAATTGTCGTGTGAAACACCGATGCAGCAGCCATCACAGTGAGTCCTGACGCTCAGACATGGAGCAAACAGACTGGAAAGAAAGCTGCAAATCAAAAGGGGAAGAAATCCAGCTAAGAGCAGTCTTTGCCAGCGTCCCTGCAGCAGGTTCACTGCAGCGAGAATGGCGTTTAGCTCGCCATTCCTCACTCCTCCTTCCTTTACACCTATAAAGTCCTCTTGATGTATTCTGCTTCCAGTATAACTCCGAGGCACGATGCTGGTCTCAGACCTCATGCAACCCACGTTAGTGGCACACTGTTCTGGCCTAAACTGATCAGAACTAGCAAAAGAACTGTGCGCGTGGAGAACTGCATTTTCCAAGGTCTGTCTTAGGGGGGGGAAAGAAAGATGTAATTGAACTGGTAGAGAGCTTGGCTTTGTTGCTGGGGCAAGAGCACAGAGAGCTACCCACCTGTGCTTTGCACACTAACTTCCAAGAGTAATTCAAAACTCTCCTGCTGCCTCTCCTGTTCCTGTATACTGAATTTCCATTTTTATGTTAAAGAAAGAGGAAGAAAGTAATGGCAGTTGTGTAGAACTGTGCATCCCTCTATACAAACACCCACCATCAAAGGTTTAAAGCCCTGCCAAGCCCACAAATAGAAGCCACCTTTTGTAGCACTTCTGCTTTGACAACATGCAGCCCACCTGTGAAAATTCAGTCCTTATGCTCCTAAAACGATGCATTTCTCAGCAGTGGTGACACTCAGCACACCTGCACCTGGTGCTGCAGCCCCCACCAGATGCACGGCCTGGGCACGGCTTCCAATGGACTCGCAGGGCAGGCTGTACCTCAGTGCTGGCAAAATGCAGACGTGATTCTCAGCAGCCATGTGACAAAACCACTCAGTAACCAAATGCATCACACAGGGCTCCAAGGGGAGGTGAGAGGAGGTGGGAGACCCCCGATGTTGCTCAGGTTTTCATAGATGCCTTGAAACCCAAACAGAACACAAATCCAGCAAGAACGCTACCGCTACTCAGTAAATTCAAACAGTTCTGGTTGAGCACCTTTTACCAAGATGTTTCTTGTGGAGAAAACACGCAGTATTTTTTCCTCTGGGTGGGGGGGAACCCCCTTTTTTTTCCTACACGTCTTCAGTAATGAGGATATGCTAACACAGCTGCATAAGGACTGACCCTGATACGAAACACTGTACTGGTTAGATTGTGCTGCAATTCTTTAAAAAATATATACGTATATGTTTATAAAATGGAAAGAGCTGCTGTTCTCACGAGGCAAAGAAAGCTTGCTCTGAATCCCGTGGAGAAGGAATGACATCTCATTCCCCTCGTGCCCACCGCAGCAACCACCTTTTCTTTTTCTTTTTCTAATTAGAGAAATGAATTCCTATGGGAACAGCTTTCCACACTGGACACCAATGTCCTCCACCTACAAGGTCGGTTTCGACAGCCGGCTCCAACAGCCCCTGGAACTCCCTGCTCTCCTCACCACCCATTTTATCAGCAGGGGGCAAAATTACCGCTAATCAAAACGTGATTGGAAACTGTGGTGATCTCCAAAAAAAATGGAGAAACGAAGCGAAACATTCCTGTCAGGAATCACGGAAACTCGTTTCCTTAGAACAGAGCTCTGTGTGTTTGGATGCACTGCACGGGCAGTAAAGTCTTGACGTCCTTCTGCTTAGCCAAGGTAACCCAAAAGTCCCGGAGGTCTTTACACAGCAGACAAGTGGTGAAGCTGCTGCTGCTTTGGGGGTGCCAGCTCCAGCAGCGCCTGCACAGTCACAGCTACCTGTGTCAAACCCTTCTCTTCTAAAATATGGAGAGGCAAACATAATTGCTCCTGAATGGGGAACAAAACAAAGACAAAAACAAAATGGATGAAAAACACTCAGCCGAAAAGGAAACTGAAAAATGAAATGTTACAGACAGCACACACACACAGGTATGAAATGAAACTTCTACTCGTAAATAACGACTGTGTACACGTCTACTGCTGGGCTGATGGTCATGTTCACTCAGCAGCCACTACACAGAACAAATAATGAGAATTTGAAGGACTGTGGGAGAATTAAGAAACAGCAAAATCCTTTATTTCTGCCTGTGTGGAAATGGCAGGAGTTTATGACATCAAAATCAGGCTAACTTAAGGAGGGGGAAAGCTCTGCTTCAACACGATGAACCGCTGTCGTAGCACAGCTTCCTTTCCAAAACACAACTGACTTTTTGAGGGAGTCCTCCTGCAGCAAGCTTTGCTTTGGTACCAAATGCAAGCAAATCCCAACTTTAAAGCAGAAAGCTAAATAATTCTGCACACCATGGACACACCACACAACAAGCCTAAGGGGAAATGCAGTGCTTGAAAGCAGTTCTCCTAATGAGATCTTGCCCGTCTGAAGCCCTTCTGTCCATATGGATGACGTGATCTTTGTCATTACATAAATTCCTTGGGAGGGACAAAAGAGCAGAAAGCACCATTTGTTTTATGGAAAGGAAAAAAGGAAAAGACAGCTTGCTTCTGATTGATTGAAATAACTTTGATCGCAAGTGTAGAAAACAGCATTTCTCCTGTTCAAGGCAATGAGAAATCAACAGCAGGTTTGAGGACAAATATTCTCCTGCATTATGTGAGTCACTAGTGCCAGGAGGCCTGCTTAAGCAGCTTCCAAAGTCATTCTGGAGAATAAGAGTAATACACAAAGTGCAAAAGGGTTTCAAAGTGTTTATTAAGAATTACGCTGTTCTCAGTCTCGGATTTAAAGCCTCATCCTACACAAGTCCTTGGCACAGGGGGGCCATCCTCAGCCCACAGCAGTCATCCAGGGACGTGCGTGCCCAGCAGTCCTCCGTACCTCTACAAAAATACCCAAGCTGTGTTCTTCCTACAAAGCTACAGAGATTCCTTTTCCACGAGTCAGCTCTGCAGCACCCTGCATTCCTCCACTCTTTGCATCTTTACTGATTCTCCGTTAAAGAAATCCTTCAGCACAAACACCAGCGGCCAACACTCCTCCCACAAAGCTCCGAGCGGAGAGAAACAGCCCAGGCTGGAAGCGCTGCGGGCAGGCAGCTGATCCAGCTGAAACGCTTTTCTTCCAGCAGAACAGTTCTTTTGAAACGATGTGCTTTGTGAGAAAATACTTGTAAACTGGAACAAGTGTTTATTACCTTTCTTTCTGTTCCTTAGGTATGCAAGTAGATAAGGGGAAAAGCTTTGGAAAGAATCCATACCACAGCAATAGCTGCGGCAAACAGGACTTAAGAACGGGAAGGCACGGTTAGTGTGAGACCCCTGGCAGCTTTTATCACAGTGTTCATTAGAAGAAGGTAAGAAACATAGGAACAGAGTTCATTTTAGTTCACACCAGTAAACAGTGCAAAAATAGCTTATTTAAAAACAAACACCCCCCCACCAAAGGTGCCCTCTTTCCTCAGTAATGCTTTGCTTGGGCAGAACGTTTCGTGCCAGTCACAGTGTGCTTTGGGAACAGGGCATCAGCTCCTCCACTTGCTCCTTTGCTAAATATTCACTTCATGTTACAAGAGCTTGGGAGATCCACGTACACATAACTGGTAGTGGCAACATTTGCAGCTGAACTTCTGTGCATCTGAAATTGTGCTTCAGAGTTGTTGCCAGGTTAATGCAGGACTGCCATCACCACTTCACCAGGGCTTACGAACCGCTGACTGCATTTTCAGGTGTAACAAACAGGCCCTGAAGTCCCATTCAGAACAGGCCTGTTACTTAGCACTTACCTGCATCTGACCTCTGACCAGAGCTCCCTGAACCAACCTACACTCTGAGGAGACGTGGCCTTTTGCACGTGGCATGGGAAGTGCCCTCAAGTCCTGAGATGTCCCTGAGAAACACATTAAAGCACCGGGATGCTTTTCCGGAGGAGGGAAAAGCTTTAAAGCTGTGCAGAGGACTACCTGAGATTTGTGTAACAGTAAAGAGGGAGCTGAACACACAGCCAGGTTGGGTATTTCTGTGTGATACTGACATTTCTGAAAACAACCACAATCAAGTGCCAACTCAGGAAATCTTTGTTAAGTTTCATCCAGAGCACAGCAAAATGCTATGGCAATCCTGTGGCATCTGATAGAACCCAAAGGATTTTTCTTTCTGTGCCAGAAAGGTTTTCTTTCAGAGCTGTTCAGAGAGTTCAGTTTCTCTGCAAACCTCCTCTTTGATCTGTTACGAAGCTCAAAAAGCTCAGGATTCATGGACAGCTATTTTAAAACCCCTGACTCATACATAAAACATGGCAGTCTATCAAAAGGAAAGTCAAATTCTCTCAGAAGCAGGGATAAGGAGCTGGGACCTGAAAAAACATCCCAAGACTTTGTGGACAAAACTTATCAGACCACGACTCCTAAGACTGTGAGAGCTAATCAAGGTCACTGATGTTCAAAATACTTTGTGTTGTTTAACACCTCTTTCATCAGATAATCTGGAAGCAATTTACCAAACTGATACAAATGAACTGGGTGCAATTCTAATCATACAGACAGGGAAGCTGACACAAACTGACAGTGCAGTTCTCCTAGTGCTAGATCCCTCACCAGCAGTCAGCCTGTAGCACACACCTGTGTGTCCCTATAGCTCGGGCCCCTGCTCCAGCCCACAGGCAGCACCTCCTCCCCTAGCATTACATCTGCTCAACGTCACACAGCAAATACAAACGTGAGTTCTGCCACAGGAGGTTGTGTGGCTGCATCGATGTGTTCACACACTGCGTTTGTCACCTCCGTTACTTCTCTCCCATAAGTGAGAAAGAGCACTTTGTACACACAGTCTTGACAAAACCCAAAATCCTTTACAGAGAACTGGAGTGATGGAGGGAGGAAACAGCAGCACCGTCCCTCAGCTAGAGGAAAAAGACGCAGCGATAGACCATACAGAGCATTAGCATCAGAGTACAGTAAAACACCACAAAGCCCCAGAGCTGAATAGAAAGGGAGAGAAGACTGGATTCTTCTGAATCTGTCCCCAGGGAAAGAAGAGTCTCAACTGTTCTTTTAACGCTGAGGTTTAGCTGAAGAATGTCAGAAGGGGAACAAAGATTGTCCTGTCCAGAGTGTGTAAGCAGGAAGGGAAAACAGACAGAAAAAAAGGTCAGTCAGTTAGCCATAGCAACATCCACTAAGCAGTCAGTCACACATTTCAGATCATCTGCATGTTCAAGAAGTGTAACACGGTTATTTCTCACAAAGCAATCTGTACAACTCCCCATTTCAAAGAACACAAAGTGCACATACACAGTGCTCAGCGAGGAGCCTGTAACCTCCACAACTTACACATGGAACCAGCCTGGCAGTTAAAAACAGAGCAGTTCACACGTGCCCTAGTGAAAGCCATTTCTGCAGGGCAAACAGCCTGCAGCTCAGCTTTGTGACATGCTTCTGGCACTGAGTGCTCGTGCTCAGTCTCCACACGTACCATAATTAATGAAAACAGCAGAAGGGATTCTTTCTGTGTAACTGATCCTTGAATGCAGCATTCTGCAGAAATATCTATTACTAATTAGAGTTTAATCTATTACTAATTAGAGTTTCAGTGCTCTGTAACCGTTCCCACAGTGTCTCACTTGCCTGCTGCACACCAATGAAATCTAGATGCACACCAATCTGCTCAGCTGGAGGTTTCTTTTCATGCCACAGCACTGGCCAGCAAAGTTCTGTGGAAATGGCCGCTTCACTCTGATGCCTGTGATTGTATTTTCTGAAAGTCACCTTCTACGTAAAGTGGCATTCCTCTTAGAAGGTATTTCTGCATAGATCCATGCTTCCAGCAAGCCCTTCATTTTTGTAATTGGAATTTAAATGAAAAGAAATAGCTAAATAGCTGCAGGCATCTTTTCAGCAGAAATACACGAGGCTGCCACGCCGTTCCTTCATACTGATATCTTACTTCTCATCTCAGCAGACATGTAATGTAGACATGTGAGAGCAACGTTAGAATTCAGCTGGGGTACTGCAGTGGGTTTCCCCACAGACATTCTCCTTCAACTCTTTCACATTAAAGCAGGAGAACTGAGAAAAACAGGAGGATGCTAAACAGAAGGTGCAGTAGATGGAGCAGAGCGGGTCTATAGGAGACTCTTGCCCTGAGTGCTCTTCTCTTGTTTTTAAAGGCGCGCCATTTCAGAGATCAGCTCTGTACTCCAATCCCATAAAAATTACATCTCCGTGTCGATGGAGCTGTGACCAGGGGAGCTGCAATGGGATTGAACCATTCTGCTCCAGGATCTGTACCATGCAGTCCTGCTGGAGTCGCAGGCTCCAGTTTCTGAAGGGACTAAAATACCTCATCGTCTCAGAACATGAACAATCATTTAGGACTTCCTACCATGTTCCAACGCCATTCACAGTGAGTCATGTGAAACTGCTGGGCAGCTCAATAAATATTCTATCCTAAAATCCCAATGGCTCAAATGCCTTTGTGTGAAGCTATCAGAAAATACTGCACGATTGACTTGAGAGCACTGCTTTTACAAATAGCAGGGAAATGAGTCACTGGGTCTACTTTTCCCTTTCACAATACATAAAAAAGAAAACAGCACCTACAGCAGAAACACTGTGTACGTATAAAAAACCAATCACATTTATACACTAGAAGAAAAATAAAGAGAAAACATGACATTGAAATCATTTGTGTTGAAGCAGCCGCTGAATAAGACAAAGAGGAAAGGAGAGGACAGCATAAAACACCATAACAGGACTCATTTCAGAAGAGAGAAAGAAAACCAGAGACTGGAGTTCTACCTCTGGTACTTAGCACAAAGAATGAGATCTGTGCAAAGGTAGCTACTGTCAGAGAAAGGCCAACAACAGTGAGACTTCTTGGCAAGGTGGTACAGATGTTCACACAAAAGGATTATTCTGAAGGAACATCAAATGCTTTGGAGGTGAAGTTACACATGCAAAACATCATCCAAGTTTTATCCCACTTTTAAGCTGCCAAATACCTAATATTGAGAAAAATGAATTGTCTTTAAGTACCTTGCAGTTCTAAAGCCAGGCTCAAGCTGCACCCAGCTGTTCTGCACTTAAGGCACAGCAGTCAGTGAATCAGACCTCTGACAGACAAACTACACCCAACTTCTTTTTACTGGAGAAGACAATGCAGGGTCTTATCTACACAGTAATGCATACCTCACATGTGAGCCTCCTGAACTTTTAATCACCTCACATTTTCATCAGACGTTTCAAGGAACACTGATTTCTTTTCCTGACCATAAAAACACAGAATCACATCTGCACCTTAACATCAGAACAGCAGAAAAAAGTACCTGAGGCACTCCGATCCTTCGGCAAGCTTCCAAGAAGTTCTCCACGTTTCGTCTGCATTTCGCCATTGTGAGCTTAGGCTGCAAAAGAAGCAGGCAAAGTGCTCTTAATTGGGAGGATTTTAATTTTAATGAAACTCTTAATAAACCTCTTTGCCAAAAAAAAAAAAAAAAAAAAAAATCACACGGCAGTAAGTTTGTATAATTCAAACCAGGCTGTGCTGCAGTTTGCTTAGAAAAGCAAGTTCCAAGCTTTCTGAAAAGCTACTTTATGAATACTGGATGATTTTTTAAGGCAACTCTAACCTGTACTGTATCGGTGCACAGTGTTACATAAAACAGGCTAACATTTTAGTGACTGTAATGGGATAATTTAAGACACATACTGAATGAAACATACACACACGTAGCACCTGTGCCGTGATTTCAGCACAGTTTAATGATATGAAGCAACCTGGAGTCCATTCTGGATTACTATGTTAAATAAATACTGAAAATCTGGTTTCAGTTAAGAAAGAGATAAAAAAAATGAAGGCTAGATGAACCCAGATACCATGGAATAAAACCAGCACTGCGACTTGCTGCATACAAGCAGATGGATTCACTGTCACTTTTCAAGTCAGTTTTTTCTGCATAGTTGGCTTTCTCACCTCTACATGGACACAGCACTGCACAGCTCTGTCTTGTTTCTATTCCTGAAGCTTACTCTGATTAAAGAGACACAAGCTTCCTGTTCCTTCACACAAGCTGCCCACAGTGTGTGCAGCAGCAGCCTCTGAGTTCAGTGGTTTTCCTTCAGAGGGGGGAAAAGCAGACCGCTGGGGCTCTTCCTCTGCCCCCCAGCCTGCCACGTGCCCCACCAAGAAAGCAGGTTAAAGGTTATTGCTGCCTTCTTTCTCCTGCAGGATGGAGGGAGCACAAAGACCACATTGTGACTGAGCAAAGACGCGATGCCTCTTCTGCTGCTGCAGCCATCCAGCCACAGGCTGCCTCTTCTGCGACATCGATGACAAAGCCATGATTTAACTTGTAACAGAATATTCAGCAGCACATAAAACCAGGCCATTGAGAAGATATTCTTGACAACTCCAGCATCGTGAATAGCAGCTGTCTGCATTTCTCTTAATGATTCCACAATCTGCCTAAAATGTTGGCGTGTCCAGCTCAAAATAATGAAGACATCTCCTTGTTCACATCATTCCAAGCAGGAGGAACCACAATGATACAGTATGCAGCCCTGTAAGTGCCAGTTCAAATTCCAACCAACACAAGGACTGACTCCAAATTAAAAAAAAAGCAAACAACGTGCTTGTTTCAAACTCTTCTCACAGGAAAAACTTCTTCCCCTATTTATTTAGTTCTAAGATGACGTGAAGGTGCATCACAAGCAGTTTGTCTCTCTGCTGTACTTTCAAGTAGCTGATCCTGAATGTTCTCACTGAACTTTCTGACTGCCACATACCTGTTATTTTTTTGGTTGACAGATGACTGTAATTAATTTGTCGCTGTGTCACAGCTCTGCATCCCACTTTAATTCTGAGCTCTCCCAAGGTGATACACAATAATGCACCCAATAATATATTACCTTCGTTGCCTTACAAAAACACTGCAGTTAGGTAAGAGGAACAAGTTCCTCAGTTGCCAAACTTCTCCGTGCACTTCTTTTCTTGCTCTGAACAGCCCCCAGATAAAACAATCCTTTTTCCTTTGTTATCACAAAGGTCTGAGTGGATTTACTTTGCTCCAGGAGATGCTGTTCTCCAAGCACGTGCAAACACAGCTCAAGTGTGCTCTGCTGACATTCCTAAGCGGAGAAATTTGTAGTGCTGTGAAACGGATGCAGGAATCATTTTGGCCTCTCTGCTTGTTCTTGCTGTTCTGTGCAGCAGGATCTCAAATAATGCAGGGAATGTTGTGTTTCTCTCCGCGTTTTCCTGAATTTCTCAGATCTTCTGATCTTCTGAAACGTCCTATTTTGTTTTTCAGGATTAACCATCTCTTATTTTACTACTCTTCAAGTTAACATGGGGAGGACATGAAAATCCTAATGATTTCTGGAAATCTGTACCAGAAGTAACTTTATTTAAATGAAACAAACCCAAACCCGTAGGCTTTAAAGTGAAACCACAGACACTGCACAGAAAGGTTGCCACGCACGTTCACAAATGAAAATAATGAATTTCACGCTTGCCTGGATTACAGATCTTTGCTGGAAGGGTTTTGGACCCCTACAAAACGCTGTCATTGTGACATACTTACAACAGCAGGTGAGGGGACGTGGATGCTGGGGACAGACCGAGGCCGGACGTGGTTAGCCAGGTGGCACAGAACAACGCCGTCCGTGAGAGCTGCTCCAAGATCACTGGGCAGAGACACTTTCAACCGTGATTCGATATTCTGTGGAAAATGAACACGGACACAAACATTCAGTGCTGGTTTCCAAGCGTTTCAGTCTGCAGAACATTTTTTAAGAGCAGAAGCATTTGAGTTACAACTCCCTGCTGGTTGGAACAGTTTTCTGAGCGACACCAAGACGGCTCCTGCACTGCGCTGGGCCAGAGCTGAACACGGTCTGGGAGCACCTGAGTTCAGTGATGAACAGTTTTCTTCGCACAGCACATTGGGATTAACACAACCATTCTCCAAAAATAACAGAAATCAGGGTCTAAGAACAATATTCCTCACCCTTCACATTCTCAGCAAACAGCTCTGCAAAGGGAACTGAAAATAACTGTCGACTGGAGGACGATATAGCCAACTAAAGTCTCAGTAAAGAAAAAAAACCAGACCATTACTTAGTAGAGTTTTTAAAAATGACGTAGTTAACATTTGTTTAAGGAACGAACATAAATTCAAATCAGGTTTTACTTCAAATGCTGTGCAGATTTCACCAAGTTGTTACGTTAAATCTAAAATCTTAAGTATACAAAAAAGATTTAATCTTACCTAGGAAGCAGAACAAGAGAGAGACTGCACGTAAAGCATTCTGAGATAAGAGATGAAAGGCTCTACAAATGCTGAGTTTTGTTTCATTTTACTTAAGAGAGCTTTCTCCTTTTAGAGGGAGCAGATTGTCCTTACTCGGACAGTTTGCAGAGAAAGAACTAACTCTCTGCCTACCTGGGATGCTTACAGCTTTTAAAATCAGCTTTAGAAAGGAATTCTCATTTATTGAGAAAGCTCAGAGCATTAGAGCACTTCAAGGAATCCCTTCACAGACAGCACAAGTGTGCCTGGGGCAAAGCAGAGCACTACCTTAATGCCCTGTGGCATAGCCAGTACCAGCCAATGTCAGGGCACAAAGCAAGGCATGCTGGCCCTCAACCAACAAAAAGCCTGAATGTAAGGAAGATTTTTGCCACAGATATTCTACAATTAACTAAGCATAAAGCAAGAGTCAACAGGTAGATTCAGAGCACACAAGGAAAGTATGCTGTCATCACGACTGGCAGCAGTCCCTGCGTGCCACCTGCTTTTCTATAGGCTTTATAGCAAAGATGAAATGTATAAAGAGATTAAAAGGAAAGACACTGAGGGAGCTTCCCAGGGAGCTCCCCACAAGTACGAAGGGTGATAAGCGAAAGATCTAACAGCAGAGATCACTGGCCAGCCAGAAGCTGTGTATTTCACTGCAGCTGGACTAACTTTATCCACAATAAAAAAACAACAACCTCCAGTGCCTCCATCTGAAAGAAACACTCAGCTTGCACAGTGCCATTCCATTTCGGTCGACTCCTCCCCATAACTGGCTCAGTGCAATCAGTCTGGAACACAAGGGCAGCTTTAACATGATGGCACACGAGAGCTTCACTGGCTTTGTCAGCTCTTACCTTACGTAGCTGCTCTATCAGCTCCAGCTCCTCCTCACGCTGCTTGGAGCTCTGCCTAACTCTGGTGTCTGCAGAATCATTAGCAGGAGGAGACAAGGCACGGGAAGATGATGAAGAAATCACTGAAAAAACAGCATGGAGAGAAATCAGTAAGTATGGTTTGGCTGACTGCCCTCCACTGCTGCATTACACACCCACAACGTTCCAGAATGGGTACAGGGCATTCCATTTCACAAATCTACTTCTTTAAAAGCCTACTAATCTATCAAACTAATGACCTGCTAATCTAAACGAGGTGTTTCCTAACACATCTTTTCCCTTTAGATGTTGTTGTTTCTGCTGGCTACCAATCATTCACAAAAAGAAGACAAAGTTTTGACAGATGAAGTATGTTGAAAGAGTTTAGCCTTTTAGGCTTTGCAATTTTGCCATATGCTGTTACATATAATGCAAATTCTACCAAGCTGCCTTTGTAACTTGTTGAAGGCTTGCATGGCATTTCCTTGCTACCTTTTCAGGTGTAAGGACAAAGACCAAGAAGAACAGATTCCCACATTTTCACAACTACAGTGGTCGTTCACAAAGTATTTATAAGGCCACATGTTTACAAACTGAACCCTAAAGCTAGTTTGGTGATAATGACCTGAAGTAACAGAGCAGTGCAAAACCTAGGTAAGGCAAACGTTAATAAGAGGCAATGCAAAACAGGCTGATGTGTGAGTTACATAACCTACCTTTGTTTGCTTCATCCCTGACAGCTGCTCGAAAAAGGAAACTCTCGGGTCGCTGGGAAGGGTTTCTATAGGAAGGCAGGGCTGCATGACCAGGATGTGCAGGGGAAAGGTGGACTAAACAAATGTGGGAAGGCACAGGAAAGGAAATGAGGAAGAAGGAAACGGTTAGAATTTAAATAGGAAATGGGTTCAGCAACGTGGCAATTAAAAAAAAAACAAATTTTAATATAATGACAAAATAAATTACATGCATGCATGATAAAAGCATAGAGCAGGAAAAGGCACTTCCAAGGACACTCGCCATGCAAAGCACATTCCACATACCACTTCCAACAACTGTTCTGCCTGCAGCTGAATGGATCTGTGGGCCAAAGCCTACACTGTCCCTGAGGACATGCTTCAGCCCTGCTGCCTCTCCCCTCACGTGTTTTCAAGGAGACCTAAATCAGTGGGTAAGCTCTCAAGCACAGCAGTGCCACACACAGCACTCCTTTCTCATAGAACAAATGTGCAGGCAGATGTTTCGATCTCGTTTTTCAGAAGCTTTGCTTCCTTTCCCTGTTACCTGTCTGAGTGGAGGGTGAGCCAGGAGAGATGGTGGATCTGTCATCACTCTGTAGACAAAAAAGCAGAAGAGCATAAATGGTCCTAATCTGGAAGAAGTTGTGACTACATTTTTACTATTTGCTGTGTTTTATGCAAGGCACCATCCATCTAAACATACTTCAGAATGAAAAGCCAGACGTGACAAACAAAGTTGTTCCCCAAGCCTTATCTCTGCAGAAAGCAGCTAAGCTTTTTTATTTGCAGAAATGCCACAATTACTCTTTTCTGAGGAAGAAGAGACGAAACAGCACTGACAGTGCAATGCTCTCTTTGTTTACTCCTCACCAAGATGCTAAGTATCCTTTGCAGAGGGGGCACAGCAAGAGCAGCTAATTAAAGAACATGCTAAACTTGCATAACAGCAGCACGGATAAGAATGCACAGACTCTGACACCTTGATAATGCAGAACTGCTGTTCACTGAATATCAATTTCCCTAGCAAAATACACTTTAATCTTACTATAGTACTTAACACAGACCAATTTCTCATGATGAATGCACTCAGAATAGCAGTGTCCACAGAAGAAAATTATAGGATACCCATACTCAATGGGAAAAGCAAGCCAGTAAAGAACACAGTAGAAGTACTCTGATAAACTCGACTTTGTGAAGAGAAAATCATCTTGTAAATAAAAAACAACATCAAAGACAATGAGGAGCAGAAGGGTTACCATGTTTTTTAGCTTAGAGACAGCCTAAAGCTAAGATGAGGTCACAGCTATTACAGTTTAATCATATAAATCAGGTTCATACCCTACCTGAACTTCTGACTAGAAGCTGACATACCAACACCTGTTAAAACAGATGTGTGGATCCCAGTTTTTTGTAGGCTTTATTGGTGAATGACAATAGCAAGAGATACCTTGGCAGGACTGAGGGCAGAGGCGTTAGGCAGGGCAGTAGCACAGCTGTCTTGATTCAACCCTGAGAGGGACTGAATGCAGAAAGAAAGACAAGGCAGCAGCAGTGTTAGCAAGCAGCTGGTAGGGCACAAGCACAGGTGGAACTGAGTAACCAGGTCAGAAAGGAAGAGGTGATCATGGTCACGTGCTTGGAAACACTTAAAAAGCAAAAGGCAGGCACAACAGGTATTTGCTTTTCAAACTGTGGTTAAAGCTTTCCTACCCTCCTGAACTTTCTGGCTAATGAGCTTGGGAGGTGAAACTTTCCTTTTTACACACAACAAAGTGCCATCGGAAGCAAAACTGAACGACAAGCGGGTAAGCACTTCCTGAAGAAACACCTGAAGGAAAGTGTACCCTCCAACAGCCCATCCTGAGCCACTACTCTAAATACTTTTCTTTTTAATGCTTCAAGTTAATCTATCAACTCTGTAAGATCAGAGAGACTCACATTTAATGGGCTAAAGGACTGCGTTTGTTCTGCCACTGATACCTAATGCTGATCTTGGTGAATTACACATGGAAGGAGATGTTACAGACAGGGCAAACCTTACACAAACACCTTCATGCCCCATGCAGACAGCAGCTGATCCTCAGAACAGCCTCCTTCGCTCACTTTTTTTGCTGTTTCCGTTCGTTTGCTTTACAAGTTTCAAAATGTCATTTCAGCAAATGTTGGTATAGCAAAAAGCAAAATAAAACAAATGGTGGTGGTCTGTGACACGAATGCATCTTTATTCCTGTGCAAAAAGAGCAGGACAACCTTGACACAGACTAACAAGCAGCAGTCACAATCCACAAAGCCAGCAGTGGGCAAAGGGGGGAACGCAGCACAGAGGGTAAGGGAAGCACAACAGCAACACAGCGCATGCTCTTCACCTGTTTGCGAGTCCCTGGCCTTCTCTTAATGGTATTGGTGTTACTGTCAATCTCAAACACAAAGAGAGGCTCAAAGCCATTCTGTCAGGGACAGCGAGAAAAGAAAGGGAGGCAAAAGAGGAAGAAGTGAGGCAAAGAACAACTGTAAGAGAAGGCAGCTGCAATACAAGAAGAATCAGGGTGCCGCAATTCTGACTTACGACTGCACACGCTGCTCTTCATTTCTAGGCGTAGCAATGAAGCTAGAGAAATGTCCCCAGACAGAAACAACTTTAGATAGAAAGAATGCCAAAGCAGAGCCCAACTACGACTCTGCGCTAACTAAAAATAAGGCTATTTCACATCAGCTCGATTGTCAGTTGTCTGAGCGTACAAATGGACGATAACTTCTGAGAGAAACCTCCAGGGCACAAGTTAGCATAATTCAAGTCATGCTTACTTTTCTCATGCTGTTATTACTTGTAGCACACTGATGCCCAAAAGGCTTAACTTCAAATGTCTCAGAGATCCCACGTGCTAACTGTGATGATGGCCCCAGGTCACATTTGAGACCACAAGAAGAAAACACAACGAAGGCAGCCGAAACAGCAGCAGTAACATGAGTGTTACACACAGGTCACAGCAGCTGCCTGGTGCCCACTGGGCATTTCACGGGCTTTGTGACAAACTGAGAAGCAGTTTGTGAGAACAACAGTGGTGCCTTTAGTATCCATCTCCCACTAACCCACCTTGTAACAGTAGTAGAGGGGAAAAAAAGCCATCTGGGGAAAGATGAGATTCAAAAGCAGGCAAGACTGAAATCACTACCCCAAGTCTGAAGCATTGATGCCGTATTAATAAGCACTCCCAACTGCAGTGAGAGTACTCTGGTGGGAATGGCAAATGGGATATGAGTGATACAGCACTGAGTTACACTGTAGGTTTTCTCAGAGAGGCCAGCAACTGTCTGTGAGCAAAGCTTTAGTTAGTCTGCCTGTTGTAAATCAACACAGTGAAATCCATCACAACACGCACTCAAGTCCTACAGCCAAACCCCACTTTGCATCACATCACAGGGATGCAGAAGGAACAAGCAAGTAAACTGTATATGCTCACAGAAGGCATGGAAAGCCATTTTGTGAGCTGAAACAGACTGCCCTGAAAGTACCTACCAATGGGAAGGAATGACCAGAGCAAACTGTGCAACACAAATGCATTTCAATCTGTGTTAAATGGCAACAGACAAAAGGGGCAAAAGAAACGTGATGAGATTTAAAAAGGAAAATAACAGCTTAAATTTGACTTCTAGGAATTTTTCTGCTAAAGAGGTAACGACACCTGAAGAACTACCAAAAGAAAGGACTTGCATTCTAGGTAACTGTTAATTTTTTTGGAACAATTAGTGGAAAATCCAATAGACAGAATGCAGCTTTATTGGCATGCAGTCTTTAGGCATAGGAAATGATACAGAGAAAAGGATGTAAATGGAAAAAATGCACTGAACTGTCAGTAGCAAATGGTGCTTTGATATGAATGCCCCTATGCTTCACTGAAGGAAAAAAAAGCCAGCCTCAGAACTTAGATCTAGCTACATTTCAAGCCCATTAGGAACAGACAAAATGTCAAGGAAATGCAACAGAATTAAAAAGGGTAAAAGTAAAATTTCAACTCTTATGACTACTTCTGTTTTTTAAGCAAACCAGTGATCGATTCCTTGCTGTTAAACAAGTTTTTGACATACAAAATACAGTAGTGGAAAAAAACAACTGCTGCAAATTCATGAGCTGCCCAGAGCTACACGTTCCAGTCACAGCAATCCCTACGAGCAGCTGTCCTGGCATCTGTCATCATTAGACACAGTATGCATTTCCACTGCAGCACAGATATGCAGATCATACTTCCATAGTTCAGAAAACCAATGTTTCATACCCTGAAAGCATGATGTATGGGATGCAGAGTTTAGAGCTGCTGAAAAAGAGCAAGAAATCCCAAGAAAATTTAATGCAGAAACTGTTTTCAAATATGGTTCCAACTTTCCCTGCCAGCCCGGCCACTTTTTCCCCCAGCCCCTTTTTTGTGCATGGATTCAACCTGGATAAAGGAACAAAAGACACCACCGTGAATGGAATTTTTAGCAATCAGTTTGCTGAACTTCCAAGTATACAACCCAGAATTCAGTACAATAAAAATCATGGGATGACACTAACAAATAAAAGGGGTCCTTAAAACGTATCATCTTTGAAATACATTCCGAAGATGAATTCACTGTCAGCACTTCACAAAACCCACGTCTGCTCTCCTGGTTCTTACAGCATATAAAGGAGCTTTTGTATTTAGATTGGCTGAGTGTGATTTCTGTCAACAGGTACAAGCACAATTACAACACATTCCTTTCACAAGGAGCCTTCTTCTGCCCCCTCACAGTGCTGGGCATGAGACAGCAGAACACCAAGACGTCTGAATGAAGAGAGAAAACACTGACCAACGCGTTCTGAAGAGGTGTGTTCTGAGAGCACTGCCTAGAGAATTCAGGTAGGTGGTGGGGATGCACGTGAGCTAAGAACATAAGTCCCAGGCATGCAGTCATGCAACAGCAGGCAAATCAAGTGTATTCTCCTTCTACAGACAAGGATTGTGGCATTAATAATATTCTTTAATTATGCTGCATCAGTAAGATGCCATAAAAGAAGAAATAGCATAAAACATGAAGCACATAAAAGTTTTCCTTTTTGCTAGTGTTCAAAACAGGTAAGAAAGACATCTTCATCACTAACCAGCAGCAGAGAACGAGGAATAGCTCAGACTTTTAGCACTTACGAGTACAGCAATATTTCCCCCTTGCTGTGCTGTGGTTCCCAGGACACCACTCCACGCCAAGCACTCGGTGCAGGACGCAAACAAAGCTCAAGTGGGGGCTGTATTCAGAGCACCCAGTTGTTTATTTGACACTGGAGAGCTCATCAATTAGGAAGCAAGCTAAATGGAGGGCAAATCAATGTAATGCTACTGGAGGTCAATTTTGAATTTTGTAAGTTGTTCTTCATTAGTAGTAATTTCCTTCTGCTCTTAGCAAAAAGCAAGCTTTAATTATTCTGCAGGAAAACATCACTATATTATTAAGAAATGGCTGACAGTACAAACATCAGCATACTCAAGATAAGTCACTTTTGAAACAAGAGGTCATGTTTTATGCTATTTAGATTAGATCTGAAAGAGTTGGTCTAATCAGAGACAACCGTAACACATCATTATTTTCATGTTCCAGAATCTGCCACAGAAAAAGGCTGTTGCGTGCAGGATCTTACCACTAACAAGGCACTATCATCAGTATGCTGAGACCTTCTGGATGGAAAGGGACACTGGGAGGTGGGAGAGATGGAGTAATGTCAGAAACAAACAGAACGACACAGCTGTGAACAGACAGACATTTTGGAACACGTGCTGCTTGTTTATAGCACTGTGAGGCACTGCTTCTGCAGTTCCATACAGCAGCCAACACTGCGTAGGAATACACAGCCACATGACCCAGGAATTACAGGGTACTCCTATCACTTAAGGAATCAATTACCCTGCTGTGTTGTCTCAAGCACATACAGACAACCACGTATTCAGTTTTTAGCATGGGAGAACAAAGGACCCTTTAAAAGAATAAATTCAGAACAAAAGAACATTAAGAAGAGCAAAAAGGAGCAAAGACTATTTCAAATATCCCTCGTTTTGGTAATTTTCAAAGCAAAAATAAGGTGAAAAATGCTTCTGAAGAGATAATTATGCTTGCATTAATAAATACATAAATAGAGTTGCATTATGCTGTTAAAGGTTTTGATCTGATTAATGCTGCCACGTGAATTAATTTCCCTCATGTAAGAGGGGATGGCAAGCAGTGGAAGAGCACTTATTACACCGACACGTGATGCACACAGTGAGCAGATGTCACTGGCTCATTCTGCACATCTTAGAAGACTGAGCTCTGCGTGATTTCTTGTCCCCTTTTTATTGCCTTCGCCTATAAAATGATATTAAAATAAAGCTCTTTTCTTTTCTTTTGAATAAGCAAACAGACCTCAAAAATAAAAATAGCTGATCTTTCTGGGATAACTGGAATTACGACAGGCAAATGGAGGAAACTGACCGGCGAATGAGAAATGACTGCACCACTGAAACCTGCCTGCGTGCTCCCATTAGAAAGTGATCTGTATTGCTTCCAAGCAGCACCTTGAAATGGAACGTGAAATCTATTTTCCATATAGGACATAGAAAACATACAGGAAAACAAAACACTCAGACAGGCAATCTGCACGAACAGGAGGAAATATTAAATTGATCCATAAGGGGAGGTGTGTGCTTGGGGTGTCAACCAAGGGCTGATTAAATGTGAAATGCTATGCTATAACCCAGTCCTGAAGTGCTCTCCACAATCAGGAAAACCTCTGATTTCTGAGATAGCCTTTTTTTTCCCCTGGAGAAAAGTAATGCTCTTGCTGGAGTCTTACCTCACTATCCAGAGGACTTGGCTTCTGAGGACTTAAGGATGCTTTTTGCTACACAGAAAGAAAAAAAGACCAATTTAAAAGAATAAGACAGAGAAACAAAAGCTCTGAATATTACAACGTAATTAAGAAGTTTCAAAACAGAAATAGTCCTAGTTTTTAAATAAAACATGTACCAGGCTGATTGCAAGTTTCCACTAGCTGAAACTTCACTAATATTATTAGTCAAAAGCCAGCTTTTATATTGTATGAAAACAAAAAGCCCAAATCGTTTTTGCATCTTAAAGAGGCATAACAGACTCAAAATATAACCCAAGGGAGGAATTCCACTGCTGAGAACAAAGTTCTCATGAATAACAAAGGCAACAGAAGAAAAAAACAAGAAGGCTTGTCGATGAAGATGCATTTTGGTAAGTTTTTAACTGAAAGACTGAGCTGATTTTCTTCAATAATTAAAAAAAAAAGAAACAACTATTTTCTGCACAATATTAGCAGGGCACTATGATAGTTGTGTTAATGAAAAGCCTCGCTTCATAGGCAGCTCAAACCCTAGCTGCTTCTTCATTTGCTTTATAAAACACCACGCATGCCCAAGAGTGCAGCACGCAAGTGTTAATGACCATAGCAATTCATTTTCATTAAAGAAAAGAGAAAAGTTTGGAATCTACTGAGGACTAAAGGAAAGGTACCTTAACAAAGTCGAGAACAGCTTCTCTCTGGATCTGCTTTGTTCTCATCCTTTCCTCCTCATACTGCAGTGCTGCCAGCTGTGCCTCCCGCCGGGTTCGCTCTATGTGCCTGCGGTGCAGGTCAGGGTCTGCATTGGGCACCTGGAACAAAACAGTGCACTGTGCTGTACAGACAGAGCTACAGACAGATGGGCTGCAGAGAAACAGGCTGCGTCTTGGGGCCAGCCTAAGTTTGGTTCTGCATCAGACTTAGCCAGAAGAGTAAGACAGAAGAGTTCATTGTGTTACCTGACTCTGGTGACTCGATAGAGAGAGAAAGTAAGGAGAATCAGCTGGGGGTCTGCCAAATGGAAAAAGAGAAAGTATATTTTCAATCTTAAATTTAAAAAAGTGAAATCACACAGAGCTGTCAGTGATGCACATGTACCTTATTAACTCTGTAAGAGTAGCTATTTAGCAAGATGTTAAACTGCTGCAATAATGATTTGACTTCACTACTTCATGGTCGACTCAGTGCAGTTATTTCTACCTCTTCTCCTGAAGTCTATATTAAAATGCTTCCACAGCTCAACATGTATCAATGGCTTTGTACATTTGGCTTATTACATTGAGATATCCAGTACTTAATACTCATTCTACTGGAGCTGATTAAGTAACCACTCCAGGAACTCTCCAGATGACCCTTACGTAGAGGAACAACTGGTTACTATGGTTAGCAAAGAAAATAATTACAAAATATTCAGTAGGAACTATACGTTTCTTCTCCCTACCTCTCTGTCCTGTCCACATAACTCCTTAGCACTTGGTGATGCTCTCTGTCCTGCATCAAATTTAGAGTTTCAGGTCTTCGTAATTCAGTGTCCCTGCAGGCAAACACCAGGTGGAAGGAGGATTGGCCACTGATGCATAAACACTACTGTCAGACAAATCCTTCTCCAGATTACAGCTGTTTGTAAAACTAATTGCCCAGACAGCTTCAGACAACCACAAAGGTGGAATTTAAAACAACTAAAGAAATGGGATACCAAGTTAGGTCACAACTACTGCAGTTCATAATTTAATGGATGTAATTTCCTTAATTATCAGAATGATTTCAAAACACAGTAAGTTTGAATCTCTCTTAATGTTACATTCTGGAGATCACAGGCCTTTTTGTTCCTGGAAAGAACAGTACTCAGGGTTCAACTAAGTGCCAGGAAGTGTGCTCACAGCAGAGTGCACTCAGCACTGCTGTATCAGAAATGCAGCACAGCCCACTGGGGGCAACAACTGTATTTACTGAGCTGAATCAACCAATGTAAGTACCCTTAAGATGAAGCTTACATTACATCCAACTCTTCAAGAGTTTTAATGGCTCCAGCATGTTAAAAACAAGAAAAAAGAATAAAAGGGCTGCATGCATGAAATGAGTTATAGTGGAAGCAGTCTACAGCTTGTGGATGGCACAATGAAATATTTCTCTAATATACACTTAAAATCATATACATTAAAACCTGCCAATTGTCATATGGCTGTTTCTCCATAATCTCGAGGGCAATAATATTGCTTGTTTTCAGTGCCTCATTAAGAATTTTGCTCAGCTGCACCAGAATACAAGTAAGCTCCAGTTCCCTTGGATGCTTAATGAACAACCTGTACATGGAGATCCACTGCCATTCTCAAGTTAAATTTTGCTAACAATGGATACCCTAAAGCTCCTGTATCATTCAACCTGTACATGTAAGCAGCAGCTTACTCCTGACTAACCTGCCTTTCCACCTTGTTTTCTTCAGATGGAATTTATTTGTGTAATTATTTCTATGTTGACCACAGATGTTCAAACGGGACAAAGTATCATAAAACCAAAATCAAATTGGCCTTTCAAGCCAGAAACATTTGCTTCATTTGGGGAGAGAACGTTACGTTCACCCCAAATTATTTTATGCTTTACTTACAGACTCTGCAGAGTAAGGAATGCTGACATATGCTGAAGGAGTTATCCTCCATTACAGCAGCACAGCTCCTATATTTACACACTGACTGCACATTTCAAGATCCCTGTTAAAACACTGCCATGATTCTGGAAACAATGGCACACTACTCTTGATTTCTCGTTCTCTTTGAAGACCATTTTTAAACATCACCACACTTTACTGACAGTGCAAATAATGACATACTGAGAGCTTGCAGTTTTCTCTCTCTTTAAAATATTCCTAGTTCAGCTGAGCTGGTTTTTTGCTGATTGCTTTGCATTCATTTTTGCTCCACAGAATACTGCAGTGTTTCAACAGTATATGTAAGGTTCTGTCAGTTTTGATTTCATGTTATCAAAAACCTACCAATTTCCTTATTCTCTGCTCTTTCAACAGGACACCCAAACCAAACCTCCTCATTCATATCCCGTCCAGTTCTGACCCATATTTACGGATAAAAATGTATCTGTTGTTTAATCACAACACAAATTAAAATCACAGAAAGCATATATTACATCTGTTTAGAACTACATGCTTTAATTTGGCAGATTTTTTAACCAACTCATTTAAATCTGAGCATTGGTATAGAATAGTCAAGCCTTTTGATCAGTGCCATGACTAGAATATGAATTCCAAACCTGGAGTAACAACATATTTGTAAGTGCTGTGCACGTTCCCAGTGAAGCAAAAGAAAACAAAATAAAAGAACAACCACCCAGTGAAGGTGCTCTGGATTCACCACCAAGCTTTGCAGAAAGCAGTGTTAGCACATCTCCTACCTGTTCTGCTGTAAATGCCGCCTCGTGTCCTCAGCCTTCGGACACTCTCTAGTAGACACTGGCTTTGCTGGTGAGCTCTGTGCAGAACAACACGGGAGACTGAGTTAGCAACACATCCAGAATAAAGTACTTTAAAAGTCAGTGCATCTAATGCATTCGTATAGCTACACTTTTAAAAAGCAGTGTGCCAGATATCCAAGAAAGGACAACAAAACACATCTCAGAGATGTTTATTTCCAACTAGGCAGACTCAACATACAGAATACAAAGCTGATGCTCTCTAATGATGCCCTGTGACAGGTCACAGGAGGGTTAAAAAGGAAAACATGAGATGAATACCTACAGCCTAATTTCAGCTATGAAGTCATGGATCTCATTGGGAGCAGAGACATACTGCTCCTGGTGATATTTTTCAACTTTCAGTTATACCCATTAACGTAGAAAAATGGAAACATCAAGATTAACTTATCAGTTTTCACTTGCTATGTTGCAATACAGTTAGCCTTCCAATTTGCAGAGCATTTTAGAATAGTCATCTTTTTAGACATATTGTGAACAGCTTAATTTTTATGAATACAGAACCTCCAACTTTTTTGACATTAATCATTTTCCACTATTTAAAAGTGAAAACCCCTTGCACTGTGCTGCCAGCAGCTGCCTTTTCTGAGTTCTGCTCATTTCTATGCTTTAAATGGCACCATTTGATATTGCACTTGAGATCTCCAAAAAGAATGCGTCTCCAATGGATATTTGTGCCACTGACGTTTAACATAGCAACCAGAAACACAAAGTGAACAAAACAGAGGTGATCCTACACGAAAACTACAAGACCCACACGATCCTACAAGAGCCACGATTTTCTTCTCCCACCCAAAAGTATCTTTCTGCTTCAAAACACGCAGTGATCTGAAATGACACGTGAACTGCAGCATAACAGGTACTTGTTCAAGCATACCAACCACCACCAAAGATTTGCTCAGACAGGTTGCTTATGCAGCATATAACGAGCTGCTGAAGTGTGAAGCTGTGCACACAGGCACTACTTGAAGACTCACAGAACATAAAAAGCAACGCGATGGGGCTAAAAACCCATTGCTGGAGTTTGATTTCTGAGGAGACTCTGCCACGTCTGCCATCCTAAAGCACACAGCGTTCACAGCAGAGGCTGCTGCAGTTGGAACAGAGATGTTTTCCAGTTTTGCCCAGTTCTGCATCTGCATGCTGTGGGTAAATAGGTGCACGTACTGTGACTCTCAGGAATTAGATGGCAGTTATGGGGATTCCTGAAACGCAGCGTTCCAGTGCAAGTATTACACACCAGCTTGAACAGAAAGATACTTCAGAACAAAAATGAAAAAGATATTGTTTAAACTTGCTGAGAGGAAAGAACAAAGAAGCTTTTTTTTTGTGTGTGTCTATGTATGCGTGTGTGAAGTGTTTGTGAGTGGAGAAAATAGTCCAGAGCTATTCATGCCTGTACCCAGATATTTGCAAAAAGCTGGCTGGAAAACTTTCTAACCCATCTCAACACTTTTATCCACTGCTCTTTCAACTCTATGCTTTTGCTGACTGAGAACAGCTGCATGCCAGACTGATCTCAAAGTGCAACGTTTCCTGTTCAGACAGGTGACTGCATACACATCCAAGTCTGTAACCTGTGGTGACACCTCAGAGCCCTGCTCAAAGCTGAAAGAGACAGAAACTGTTTGCAGTATACAGTGGGCTTTTTGAACAGTCTGACTACTGAAGTTAGTCTAAATGTAAAATGTATGCTCGTGGCAGTAAGTGTCCTTGTAATCAAGAACAGCCAAATTAATGGAGCTGCAAAATTCACATAGTAAATCTTTAAGTTGACAATGAGCATTTTTTCCCCTTAAAAAAGCCATTTATTCATTGAGTAATTCATCAGGTAAACATGAAAATCTTAGGTATCACCAGTTATCATTCAGAGGCATCAACTTCTGTGTTTTCTGATGACAATACTCCTCTGGAAAACCATTCACTGCACACAAACCTAAAGCACAAGGCTTGCAAAAACCCACAATGCAGCAGAAGTGTGGCTGCTTTAGACTCATCCCACAGCTCCCAAAGGACACTCAGGAGCAGCTTAACACTTCAGCCCTGACCCTCCAACAAAGCCCGACAGATCCCTCAGATCAGACCACACCACACTAATATGTTTTTGGTTTTTTTTTTCCCCCCTCTATAAAAAAACCTGTGAGGACAAGAAGCATTAACGTAAACACAAAGGCTTTTCTGTGGCATGTGAATTTAATTAAAGTAAAAGCACCACCTCATTAGAGATTCGCCGCTGGTCAATGTACGCCATGAACTGTGAGCTGAGGCTGTCTGAGTCCACGCACTTGGGTTGCCTCACCTCTTCCTCCTCCTCTTCTGTGGCACAGCTATCGATATAGTCGATCTGATCGAGATCGTGTTCCACTTGACATGCACACACAAAGGAAACAGCCATCGTGAGACGACCAACAGGAGGGGAAAATAAACAACACAAAAACAGTGCCAGGAACTGAGGTCCTACTGGCTTCCTTCCGTCTGAAAAGCTCAGCCTCAAAGGTGTTGGATTCTGCCTGGCCTGCTAATGTTTGTTAAACATCAGGTTTTGAAGTAATGATAAAATCCATGGTTTTCAGAAAGCAATGAATAACACACAAAACATAGTTCTGAACTGCTGGCTGCGGATACTTCAGCAATAACCCAAAATTAATACTGTAACTGTCTCAATGCTTAAAGCATCTACCAACTAACAGACTGTGCAATGATCCGTGCACATGCTGAATTTATCTCGTTTCTAACTCATCTCCTTCAGACAAATTAGGATGGTTATCACATAGCTCTCCTATTTTTACTACAACAACAAAACAAAGAAGCCTGGCCAAGTTATCTGGAAGCAAATGCCACAATTACAAAAAGCGTAAGTGGAAGTAATGGAACATGTTACAGAAAGCAAGAAAGCCCTTTAGAACAACACAAAGTAACAACAGAAGTCTTATTTTAGGTACACAGAATGTGCATTCTGCCCAGGAATTCTGGGAGTCATAACAGTGAGTAAACTAGCTTGAAAAATCCAGTGCTGTGGATGCAGGGAAAGCACGAGTTCCTTTTCTGAGTACCAGAGCTCTGCTGACCTTGAAACTCTCCCCAGACTTGCTATACACTCTCTTGCAGACATTCTTTTCCTACTCCTCCGCCTCTTTCCTGCTTGCCTATAACAGACCTCTCTTTGCCTCACCACACAATCTAGCAACTGTTACTGCCAAAGCCACCTCCTCTGCTACTGCACCCATCCAGAACAGCATTCCTATATATTTTGGCTTCATTTTATCTCCATCTCAGTTTCAAATCCTAAACAACTGAACAACAACAACAACAATCCGCCACCACCACCACCACAAAACAACACCAAACAAAAAACCACCCCACACTCAAAGATACCCAACAAAAGTCACATCACATACACCACAACCACCTTCCTTCCAGCCTCGCTTATTAAACATTAATAACAATATTACAGTAGAAGGTGAAATACATTAGGAGCAGTGTTAGAAACACAAAACAGGGATCTCCTGTGTCACTGGCAGTCGTATGCTGAGACTTGCACTGACTGTGCTCCACTTTAAAGACTAAATGACAAATTTTGAAATGCCTGGTGTACAAAACCCAAAGAACAAAATAAAGTTAAGTCTCAGAGGTGCAGCTGGCAGCACTACCTGTTATGAAGGCTGCCCACGGCTTCCCTTAACATCATGTTTTCAACTCTTCTAACTTGGCCAGAATTTAACTGTAAAGAGTAAGACAAAAAAAACAAGACGGCAAAAACTGAATATGGAGAGGAGGAAGGAAGATGGAAATTATTGGGAAGGTACTCAAATAGGGTACATGAGCTGGAACCCTTAGGGGAAATGGAAAACAGCAGAAGAAAATTGAATTAGTAGACGTGGCAGTGAGTGAAACGAAGAGGGAATGACTGAAAGAAATAGATGCAGAAGAATGCTAACACTGGTCATGGTAACAAAAAGAGGACTGAACTTTAAGCCAGCAGTAGCAGATTACTGCAAGCTAAAATGGATAAAGACTGTGTAGATCAAGAAACATGGGAAGCACTGTCATCTATGGAACAAATGAGAAAGTGCCATTTTAAGACCGCGGGGCAACAAATTGAGGTCTAAAAACATGATCATGCCTATAAGAACCTGCCCCTCTAAGCTGCCTCACATGGCTGGATTAAGACTTGAGATTCTGGAGCAAGGCATATCTACTGCTCAATGCCTGCTTCGTCAGGAATTCCCTGACAGAACTGCTCATCCTGCTGCGAAAGCAGTGGACACAGAGCACGGACCATTCCCTGCTGCTGTAATTTCTCCAAGTAGCTCAAGCAGCAAAACCTTCTGAGCTGAAATTCAAGATTCCAAAACACTATTCAAAGTACTCAAGTGACCTCACACAACTGTGGCATATATGCAGAAGCTGACATAATACCTCCCTGAAAATCCTAATTCTGATGCTGTCTGATTTTGCCTTTATGTAAAACACTGTTTACACAACAGCCTTTCTGAATCTTTGTCTTTGGCCATCCTATTGCTCACAGCAAATGCTCCAAAACTCTCATAACGACCACAATAAATACTGTTAGCCAAAGATCACCATTTACCTCCACCATTGGTTACGACCGTGCTCCCTCGGTTTTCTTGATACTGATTTTCTCTTCGCAGTCTCTGCTCTTTAGTGATTTCTGCCACACGTAAAGGGAGGTCTGAGAACTCATCTGTTGGCTTCAGAAAACAAACAGTGAAGAAACATTTTACGTTACCTACTGAATATGCTTCCAGATGTACACTTAGCAGTCTTCTTTCTCATACAATATGGCACTCAACACAAATGATTTTCAATACTTACTTCATTCCCTGACCATCTTTTGTCTCCACTGTCCACACTATTGAAGCCAGAATCAAGTGCTCCATATGGACGACTGGAATAAAGTTCCTCGTGGCTGTCAAACACAATGTTTTAGATACAGTGATATAAACACCACTGAAAATTTGTCACCTACTGCAGCTATTAAAAGCACAACAGGCTACCAAGCACAGCGTTAGCTCAGCATATTGGAAAGCATCACACTGCATTTGCCACGCAGAACGAGAAGGATGTGTTTGTAATTTGAAATATGCCTCTCAGTCAACCATCCACCTGCCACATCTCACACCTTGAAGAGATAACCTGATCCAAAGTATTTACCTATACTTCAAACATGACCTAACAGAAATGGTAACAAAGAAAACAGAATTGTTATTTCACTGCTTATTAAGTCAAGCTTTCATTTTCCATTACTGGTATGTTTTGCTTGAAAAGCACTTCTGTTTTCCTCCTACAACGTTTTTGCACAAATCAGCAGAAAAGCATTATTACTAAAAATACATGAATATGAGGATATATTTATTCTACACAAACATACACAGAATGCACTACATAACTGTCTTGTGCATCGTAATTATCTTGCTCAGAAGCTGCATAGTAAGCAGAGCATTTCAAATACTTCATAACATAATAAATAGAGAAGTACAGTTTTCCTCTGTGGAGCCTGACTGTCAGTGACACGTCTGGATGAGGGCACCATACATGTGCCTGTATGACAATAGGTACAGCCAAAGGGCCACTCAGTTCTCCAAAGTTCGGGGCTCAGAAATGCCAGAATCCAGCAGCACAGCCATCACAGATGTCAGGCCTGGCAACTGCTGCAGATTGCTGTAGCAGAGACAATGGGACTTGTCTGACCCGCTGCAGATGGCATTTCACAATGGCCCAACTGTCCTGCTGGCACCCGCAGCCCCAGGGAGAACTGCAGCAGTAATTAGTACACAATACGCATGGAAGAACGAACTTTGGGAAGCTAATTGCTTCGCCCATCATAACCAAATTGCAGGCCATCTTCTCGATGGTACTGCTCTCAAGTTGCTGCTCCCTTAAAATCTCTCTTGCAGGAAATACTTAGTTTTAAATGATTCTTGTTGCTGTTATTTAGGCAGCAGCGAATGCATGCATGGGATTTCTACAGCTTCACTGCCCTTTTTTTTGTTTTACATTCCTACCCTGGGCTGGCTGTGCTTCCAAACAGACATAAAGTAACAGGAGGAATGGAGAGCTGCAGATGAGAAATATCAGGCTATGCATCTTCTGTGCATCTGCAGATGGGCACCAAAAGACAAGCTCTGAGACCTTCTTGGTGTGCACGTTAGATCAAAGAAGGCCCACTTCTACAGCTGGAATCTGAGCAGAAAGCTCAGCTGTACAGTAAAGCCTTAGCTAAAAAAATAAGGGGGAAAATAATAACTCCTGTTTGGGGTGGGAAGAAGAAAAGACAAAATTGCCCACTGCAATCAATTTGAGACACTGACAGCAGAACAATGCTTTTATGCTCGCAGTTCAGAACATAAATAACAGATATAAAATATTGCTCATTGAGGGGGAAGAAAAAAATCTGTTTGCCATATATTTCCATTTTGAGGGCACTGGTATTCTCAGAATCTTCTGAGAACCCTGACCTAATGTGAACCACTACACAGAACTGAGGAGCATCAAAATGCTACTTGGTTACTCCTCAAACACGGAAAAGCCCTCTGATACACATTTTCATCTTCTTTTATAGTCAGAATTCCAAGCTATGATTAAAATGCATTAATCCTTGTGTCAGAAAAGCAATTAATGAAAACGTTAATAGTAGTCCATAGTTACAGACAGGAAGCACTGAGCATGCAGGCTCATCTATTTTGGAATTTCTCTCTAAAAACAAAATGTGTTAGAGTGCAATCACAACAGCTTATCTTTCAGAGCCTCTTCTTGTCAGGAACAGGACAGTACTGTGCACAGTACTATCTGCAACAGCTTATATTCTAGGAAAGTGAGTAACACCCATCAAATACTCAAGCTGACCTCACACAGAAGAGTCAGTTCAGGTGCTCAGCACTGCTGAAATCGCTGTCAGTCCCTCATGCAAACCCTGCTTCAGAAATCTGACTCGTAACGATTTATTGTGAGGCCCCCTGGTTTGTTTTATTGCTGCTAAGAGAGCAGCACATCCTTTAGCAACTTACTTCTCCACACATTATTACTATCTTCCAAGGTGACTGAGGTAATTCTTACATATATTTAGTCTCATACTTCACTGACTTCCTTTCTTCTGCTTCATGTAACAGAAATAAATCTTAACTCTTGCTTTTCTCCAGACATCTTCAAACTCAGCAGCTGATACAGCTGACTGTTCCAATATTTGTGTTATAATACTCAGCAATACTGCCAAGTGAAAGCTTGCCAACAATAACAGTTTGCTAATGGGGTGGAGATCAGCATTTACACCTGCAGCTCGAGCACAGCGGTTATAAAGTTATGTACAAAAGGTTACAAATCACACTGGGGTAAACTTCAGTGAGCATGTAGAAAATACTGAGATTTTATTAAGTGAACTCCTGTCAATAACCAGGCAGCATGCCCCCTGCACTGCGAAGACACCAACATCTTTTTACTCTGCATTACCTCTAACGTTGCCTTTCAGATGCCATTTCCAAGGTTGTCTTCTGAACTACTCTTTGCTTCTTATAAAGCAGTACCTTGCTAGAATGTACCATGATATAACACAGCTAATGCTCTTCAAACCACACCCAGCAGCAAGCATGCCAAAGAACAATCATTTTTGGATCTACTTTCTCTTTTTTTTTTTTTCTTTTCTTTTTAATCCAGAAGGCTGACAAAGCTTTTCTGAAGGGCATCTAAACTGAGAACCTGGGTGGTGCAAAACTTACCAAGATCCAAATCCCATGGGTCTCCTATCATAATCAGGCAAATCCGGAGCTATCTTGCATGCTTCTATGTTGAGATATTTAAATATGTGAATTTTCCCTTTTATACATATCTACAAAAGAAGAAAAGGGAAGCAAGTATAATTTTATAACGCATTTTCAGAACAATCAACAGGGCTTTAATGTGCAGTCAATATGAGCACATTCATGCCAACCAACGCATCTTCTAACCTTACTGCATTTTACTGAAACAGTGTCATCAGATGCCCGTGAGACAAATGGAAGCTCTCTTCTGAGTACATCTGGTCTGCATGCAACCCTGTCAGCTGGATGCTAAAATCTCAGCATGCAAATAAGATATAAGCATGTACAACTACTAGAATTTATAACCTTGGCTTAAGAACAGATGCATCCCACCCATGCCCAGCTTTGAATGGCAGTGGCAGACTGCCAAAGCAAGCTCAAATGTGAAGTGAATGAAGCCAGCCACAGCCTCTTGGCTTTCTAAATGGAGGCAAAAACCTGAGGCAAAACCTTATGGAGATGACAGGTTTCAGCAAGTGCCGCTCTTGATTCAGAAGCAGCAGCTTACAGTAGAACCTGTAATTCTCAACGGATTATACATTAAAAAGGGAATTAGTCACTAACCATATTGCAGTCTCTAGTTCAAAGGCCAATTGGAGCACTTCTGCTAAGTGAATCAGCACACAGCAGCGCTGAGACCTCAGCCAAAACTTTGACATTTGAGCAGCACAAAACCAGCTTTGCCTAACAGAGCTTCCTCTCTCCTGTGCCCTTCCTAAAACTACAGCCATCTGACATCTCCTGCTAATAGCACAGTGCTAACCAGGGAATTTTTCACATAATGCCACAGGTGAGACTAAAGGGATAAACGAAAGAAAAATTGATTTTTCAAGCCGTGCTGAATTTTTAACACTTTCAGAAAATACAAGTTATTTAAAGCTCCCTTGCTCTTAAGTAAAGGTTCTAATACCATCCCTCAGCTTTTTGTTCCACCCTTTTTAATTAAAGTAGTCATGTGAATTCCCAACCGCAGTTTACCTGTGCAGGGGGTGACTGGAGAGGGTTGTTCTCCAACATGATGGTTTGCAGATGCCTGAGGTTCCTATAACAAACTGGGATTGTTGTTATTTTATTGCAGGAGAAATCTAATCGAATCAAAGGCAACTCGGCAAGCTCTGCAAGAAGAAGATATGAGTTTAATTTAGATTTAAAGGTATATAAAATTCCATGTATCTATTTTACAAATAATTAAATGCAACTGCTGCTGGTACTCACAGCAATAAAAAGGCATTAAAAATAATGCACTTTCAGCTGCTACAACCAACAGTGTTAGTCTCACCTTCAGGTAAACGCACCAAATGATTCCTTCTGACATTGAGGTCCCGTAAGGATTCCAAACTGCCGATCTGCGGAGGTATGGTCTGAATTTCGTTACAGCTCACATCCTACACAGCACGAGCAAAGAGTTAGTGCTCTGCACACGGACAGAGGGAGATACTATGGCAGATACAAACCCTTCTTAGGCCAAAAGCAGATTTAAGCTGCTAGCGCACACCAGTGACTGGTTTACCATCACAAAGCTCTTAGCAGAATGAGAGACAGAATATTCATCATGCACATCCCCAGAGAGCATCTTAATTACTGAGCAGTTTTTATCAGATTATCTGAAGCACATCTGAACCTCTTAATTAAATCAATTTAATTTGATGCGTTTAACTTAATTAAATCCCTTAAGTTAAAGATTAAGTAGTGATTGTTAAAAAATAACTGTATACTCACGAGCTCCGTCAGCTGTCTGAGCTGCCCAATTTCTTCAGGTATGGAAACCAGCTTATTATTACTCGCTATCAGAACCTTTAGTGGGAGACTACAGAGGTGTACTGGCAACGTTGAAAGCTGGTTTCGACTTTTGGGACAGAAAGAAAATCAGATCATCAGAACCATCATGAGAAGTCACCTCTCGTCTTCACACACAAAAAGCATGCGCTGTTTTGTTTATCAACTCAGTTTCTGTATAATTACTGTAAAATTACTTCCACAAAGTCTTTACAGCTCCTTGAAGCAGCACTGCTTTATCTAGCTATGTCTGAGCACGCTCTGAATATCAAGTACCAAGCACGTCCTGATGCTTCTGAACTCAGTGTTGGGGAACAGGACATTTCTGGGTGCTGCTGAAAACTCACCACCCAAAAGCCAGCAAAGAGGCAGCACCACAGGTGAGTGCATACAAAGTGCCACAGAGAAAGTCACTAGATACTCAATCAAAAATACACTTGAAATATTCAGTAAGTCACGTGGATCGAGAATTTCAGTACGATGAACTTGGCTGCTCCAAAATCCAATCTGTACCTTTCACAACAGACTGCTATTAAAGCAAATAGGAGGTCATATGATGAGACTGCGACCTCAGATGAGAATCACGCAGGATAAGAATGGATTATAAAGGGAAAACGACTCTCCCTCAAAACAAAACACAGCAAAGAGCTGTTATATTCCATCAGCACTCAGGTGCCCAGATCTGAATTTCACGGACCATCCGACAACAATATCCTCTCTCATGGGAAACCAGGCATACTAACTGAAAACTACTGGAACTTTCTCTGCGAGTACCTCACATTGGAATTAGCTTCCTTCCTCATACTTCGCTTCTACCAGTTGCTGCTTAATCCTTATGTTCCCTAACCCATCCAAGCAGGCATTCAGACTGCTTTGTTTCAAATCCACACAATGTAACAGTGAGATGATGACACAGCGTCCACTGTTCATGGAAGCACTCAAATTTAAAAACCTAGGCTACCGAGATGCTGAAGCAAAATTTTTAAGGCAATCATTACCTGATGTTTAGAAACGTTAAGGACTGTAAGTTCAAAACAGCCTCTGGGATGTATCGAATGCAGTTCTGGTACAAATTAAGGCTCTCGAGGGAGACGAAGTGACACGCTTCTGCGGGAAGCTCTGACAGTCTGTTCCGTGACAAATCTGAAGGGGAAGAAAAAAGACCCTTTCTGAGAAGCTATCTTCAACTTCCTGAGGGCAATACTGTCTGCATGTTCTCCATCACATCGTGGCAAGCACTGGACAGGATTCCATTCTGCCATCCTACCTGCAAAATTTTCAAGATTATGAAGTGATCCTCATTTGACAAGGGAAATAAATCAACATATTTCAAAACCTGATAGTGACAATGAGAGAGGCAGATGCAACATTCCTTTCATAGCCATGCTTTCACATCCCAAACTGCCTGAAGCTTAAAGGAGCTAGTTCAGAACGCCAAGAGCCCAGCTTCAGATCTCTGTTCCATGATCATCCTCACATTATGGATTTACAGATATATTTTTTTCAATCACTGGTGTAGAGCGAGTGCTGCTGTAATGGAGAAAATAATTTTTCTTTAATCAAACTGAAACTAAATGAGGTTTCAACCAAAGACCACAAGTACTCTCCCCCCAGCCTCCTGTTAGTGCTCCGTTGCATGGAAATCTCAGCTTCTAATCTCTAGTCCAAAATACACAATGTAGTGTGCACAGGGCATGCTTCCACGCAGCACCAACACGCTCTCTGTAACACGGAGAGGGCATCCCCTGCTTTGCACAGATCCCACCTGAACCCTGCCATCTAACCATGCAATGCAAGGATTTCAATCCCCAGTCTTTCCTGGCTGCAGAGAAATGCTCACTGTGAGCAGCGAGATTTGCTATTTCTTTGTGATCCAACATTTCCTGCTGAGCAAGACAAACTTTAATCAAAACTACCACCAAATGTGGCAGTTTTCTGGCAGAGGAGGCACAAAAAAAAAGCACTGCACTGTTTTGGAAAAGGTTTAACCACAAACATGATAAATCTCTGGTGCTTTTTCTTTCACTTTATCATACCAAAGAATGCTTGAGACCGAGTGTTTACATTCTGGTCTGTTGTCTGGACTCCCACAGCATGCAAGTGCTGGACACCAACCACGATTCAGTATTTCTTGAGAAATGACTTTGCAAAATAACACACCAAAGCCATCAGCAGCAATGACCGAGCTCTGCCAGCCTCCCCTCAACGCAATGGGACCAGACTCGAGGTTGGGAAAAGCAGCCATTGCACTTTGCTCTGTTCTCTTTTTCACTTTCTTCCTAAAAATACCTGAGTGAAAGGAACAGCTCTAACAAAAGCAGGAGAGAAGTGGCAAAGAATCCCAGCAGCCCGGCAGTGCCGTACACCTGCAGTACAGCAGCACTCGCTGCTTTTCCAAAGCAGAAAGTGGAAGTGAAGTAAATCAAAAGCACCTGGTTCAATGTGTGCAAACCCTCGTTACCTGACAGAGCATGAAATGCAGACAGCAAGCATGCTAATTTTCCCCCCTCAAAAGCACAAATGCTGAATTTTACTAGGACTAAATATACGAGTGAAATACAGATAACTGTAACTTGAAGTGATTCTTTGTGTTGAGCTTTCATGGGTTAAAGCAACCATTAACAGAAATCTGCTTAAAAAAAAAAAGAAAGAAAGAAAGAAAAAAGCACTCCTAGCCTGCTAAAAATGGATGTGTTTCCTTGAAGGCAAGACCATGAGGAATTTTGGCAAAGGGAGAGCATTCTTTGGAACGAAGCTCTTAGTGAGAGACGAGAAAGAAGAGTGTGCCACAGCAGCAGCTGGGGATGGTGGGCCCTGTGCTGAGCCCAGCTGCAGGTGCGGCAGCAGGGATGGATGCAGGGGGGCTGTGGCTGCTGCCCCATGTGAGCCCAGCTGAGATGGCTTCTGCTGGAGGGCAACAACATTCCTCTTTTCCCTGACACTACCAAGCATGTGTTTTAACTTAGAAGTACTCTCATGGTTTTCCTTTTATACTAGAAGAATGCAAGATTTATTAGCCTACAGAGAAAATATATTTTAATATAAATAATTACAGCGGCCAACCAATGACTGGGACTGACAGCTAGAAAAAAGGTGGAATCAACCACCCGAGGAGGACAAAGGACGGCTGTTCAAGAGCAACGTTCACAACCTGGGATCCCCATCAGCGGGGATGTGTTTACACACACAAACTCCATGGTCCCTCAGCAATAACAAGAAGGCTTTCCCACCAGCAGCTTCAAACAAAGCAATGAAGCAGTTGATGTAACCTGACAGAAACAGAAAGCAGCCCACACGACCAACTCCTTTATAAGTGTTGCTCCCTGGAAATAGACTGTGTTTGTTATGGGCATCTTTAGGTAATGTCACCAAGCAGAAAACTGGAGAGACTTCATGACATCCTCTGACAGCTCAGTTATGACATTTAGAACCAACACTACCAGAACCATCATTTGCATTTCTAAGTGCATTCAAAGCACACTGTTATCCAAACATTAACTTTGCTTTTTGGTGCTTGTCATTCAATCTACTAACCAAATAAATACATGCGTGTTGATCCTGTTTTCATGGACTGATGTCCCACTTCTGGAACTTCTCAGAACTTGAAAGGAAAACCCAAGAGCAGTAATTGCAACCCTACTGATTTAAAGGAAAGATACCCATAAAACGACTTAAAATGAATGAAATGAAAGCACAGCCTCAAATAGATGAACCACTGGTGTTACTGCAATGACATTTTCTTGTGCAAGGAGACTAAAAAACACTGTAAGAATACCTCTCGGACACAGTGCTGACACTTGGTAGCCTCTCTGCTCACTGCCTGGGAATATTTTCCTTTTCAAGCACTGGAAACACTGGAATCCTCAGAGCTTCATTGCACACTCGGCGGATTTCCTGCCACAGGGGTGATTTTACCTCTTCCTGCTGTGATGCAACACCACCGCTTTCATCACCCTAATTTCAAACAAACCTCAGAAATGTCATCTCACGACTTTACCATCTACCTGCTAATCCTGCCAAACCTCAACTCTTCCCAACTGTTTTCCTATGCATCTTAAGATATACCTCTTGAGGTCCTGTTAAGTCAGTGCAAAAGAAGGTGCCACTTACTGAACAGAGATGAGGCTGCTCCATCTGCGTTGTCAGTGCAACAGCACCACTGTCCAGGCACAACAAAGAGTATTCTCACCCTGGTTATTTTTCTAGTCCTACAATGAAATACAGTCCCCAACTTCTAGCATCAATTTCCAACATAAAATAAACGATGGAAACTGCAGAACACCACCAGAACGCAGTTGTCTGTGTGTGATTACTGGCAAACAGACACAAGTGAGAGGCTCTAATCCCCGCAGGGAACTGAGACTTCCCAATATCAACACACTTCGGCTGCTTCTCCTCTAGCTGTGGCTCTGCAGCAGGCCAATCAGTAGCCTAGACAAACCAAGCTGATGTCAGGCCTTATTTATTTCTGCTTCAACACACACTGTGGCTTCACAGTCAGCCAATCTAACCCAGCACTGTGACAGGAGGGAAGCATTCCTCATTGGCCACGCGTTATCATCCCCTCTGCCGTGCCAGCGCTGCTGATGGTACAACCACACAGCCAGTTGGATCTCATTACCGTGAGCAAATCCTGTGAAAAAACCAAAGCCACAAATAGATTCAGCCCTTCTGAGGCACGATCTGATTCATGGTGCTGCTGTGTAAGCTCTAACACATCAATACCAGGGAGATGATGAGACCGTGTGGCTGCACGTGCAGGGAAGAGAGAGACCACGACTGGTGGGCAGCCCCAGGATCAGACCAGCTGGCTTATGGTAACCACAGATGTGCACTTTTCTGGTTCTTCACTACATGATCTACTAACAAACTTGAGCTTCAGAGTAACCAGGACAGGGCAGGGTCCAGGCATCCATTCCCAAGGTTTCTCCTTACTATACGTACTTGTTGACACTGCGCAGTATTTTAAGGGAGGCACGTGGTGGAGCAAATTGAGAACTTCAGGAATGAGATGCCACTGCTTCTCAGATGAGAAGGGAGAAGAATTTGGAGACTTTAGATGAGAACCATGCTCAAGGAAGTCAGATGAGCCAGCAGCTGGGCCTTATGACCATCAGCAGACAAGAGGACAGAGTACAGGCAGAACACAAACTGTGGCTGTACGTGCTGCTACAGCACTGAAGGTGTAGGCCTGCACATCCATGCTTGAAAATAAGGATTAATTCTAACCCCTTCCTATGCAGCTGGATGTTTATAAAGCTTTTACATACACTCTGCTTACAACACATTTTTACCCTCCACTCCCTTGTGATCCCTTATCTTCCAGTAACTTCACTCAATTTCCTCACCAATTCAGGCACCCAGCCAACAGAACAGTCACGCTTCTGTTTTACACAACCCTAAAATATCAAGTCAAATAAACAAATATAGTGAAAGTAGCAATGCAATGTTGCAAGATATCTAACACTGAGGAAATGAACCAGGGTCTCCAGGTCACCAAATCCTGTTAAATTGGGGAAGTTCTGTTCATTGCTAGCTAGCTGCATTGCAGATTCTTCTTTTTGCATAATATATATATATATATATATACAGTATTTATTTGCAGGAAAAGCAGCCTTTGGACTATGCCTACAAAGCTGGTAAGGCAGCGCACACTCCCTCACTGATAAACCTGGATCAAAGGAGGCTCATTTGGCTTGACTCAAACCTACTCCCCATTGACTTTATTTAAAAGAAAGAAAGAAAAGCCACCTGTGTGGCCAGCCTTTCATGCTATTCTAACCAGAACAGTATAAAATGGTATCTGAAAGCCTTGGAAATGCTCGCTCAGGGATCCACTTACACTGGTGTTAAACTATCACTTCTTTGGACACTCCTCACTTCGCTGTAAGCTACTGATTCTGCAATGCTTGCTTGAGCATTTCCCAATCCACATCATGCAAGAACGCAGTCAAGTTAGTTCAGACTATTTTTATGCTGCTTAAACTGTTCTTGTAAATGTTGCCTGAAGCTGACTTGGGAGGATCTACCTGAACTCTGCATCTCCAGCGGAACCATGAGGTCAGCAGCTCTTATCTGCGCACTGCCAAGCAGGCAGGAGCCCTGCCTTTGTGACGAAGCTTGGAAGGTGGAACAAAGAAAGT